TGTTGCATTCATTTTACTTTTAAGTCAAAAAATAACAATCTTATGTATTAATTGCTTTTATGTTCATCTAAACTCCTCTTACATTACTATCAATTAATTATATATTTATTTTACATTGCATTCTTGTTATTCAACTTTTTTTTTCTGACAAATCAAATTGCCCCTAATGTAAATTATGAATTTATAAGACTGGTTCTAAAGAGTTGGGATAAGATTAATGCTCCGTTTGTGACAACTTTCTTAGAAATTTTTGTACTAAAAAAATTGTATTAGAAAACAGTAATAAAGTATCCCAAATGAAGCCTAAGTATGTTGAAGTCAAGTATCTATAAAGTTGGAGAGAGAATAATAGCACTAACCTTTGTTTTTCTAAGTAATAATAATCAATCTTGTTTTTCTCTCTCTAGCTACATCTGTTATATATATGTCTAGTTTTATTCAAAATGAGTGGATATAAATAGATGAAGTGTTATAAATATTTCCTCATAGTAATTAAAATTTAATTAGGATTAGAATAGAGCAAATTTTCCTTTAAAATTAAAAAGAAAATTTTGTTATCCGTTTGTTTAGTATTTTTGCTATTTATATTATATATTAGTATATTATAATATAAAAATATTAATTAAATACCTAAAATAGAAATTATGAACTGAAAAAAAGGAAAAGAAATAATTTATGACTATAATTTGAACAGCTAATTATTTCATTGATCCATACCAATCATTAAAATTATACATCATGATCCTCTCTACATAAAACTATAAATACAGCAAAGAATTATAAATATAATGAAAATTTATGAAAATAAACTTGATATATTTGTTGAGTGTGAGAATATTTGCGGCGGTACAGAGAGAGTGACTTTAATATCTTAGTTTCGTACAAAGATCTAACATATATACAAATAAGAGGGAAGTGCAAGAATTGTAAGATATGCTACTATTTCTTTGTGAAAATCCCATAAAAAGATAAACCAAAGAGTCTGACATAGTTAAAATAGTTTCACTAATATTTATCGTCGATTACAAATGATACCCTTCCTCAAGGGAAGGCATTGATACAATGTAAAGAGAGTATTTCAAGCGATGATGGTTGGAGGATCGTAATCGAGCGATGATAGCCGAAGGACTGTAATCATGCGACAATGGTTGGGGAAGCATAGTTTGGTGATAGAGATTGAAGGACTGAAGTCAGATGATCTTGATCGGAGAGTAAAGTAGTTGAGTGATGATGATCGAAACTCGAAACGATGATTGTAATTGTGATACAATAACGAGAGGATTATTATATATGGATATCAGATGCAGCTCTATATTCGGAGGTGAATCAAGTGCAGCCATGTCAGCGGTATCGAGCCGTGTAGTGAGCAGAATCGAGCAATACCAAGCTACGGTACATAACAAAAAGATAACGTATCGCATATTAATTGATCTCCAAAAAATATTCCATATCCGGACAAAAATAATTTTTCCTTTCTTCAAAAGCACTTCTCAAAGCGCCCATTTTGGAGCACCAACAAAAAGTATCTTTAATATTGATTACAAGATCCATGCTTCACGGGATACTCCTTAGAGACCATGCATGTACCTTCTCGAGCACTCCTCCTACAGTATTATTGTGCATGCATTTGGGTCCTGTAACTATTACAGAAATAATATGCACACAACTTTGTAAGCCCTTTTATAGCTCTTAAAAGGATGCTGACGTATAAGAGGTCCTTGCATATTTACTGCTTCTGTTCTCAGTTATATGCCCCACGATCATCGCAATCATGTAAAGCAACTGTAAATGATTCATCACACAGGTAAACCTTTTACTTTTTTCTCAAGCAAACAATGAACTGTCCAAGGTTTTTGGTCACAGTGATAGCTCTTCTCGAGCTATAAAATTTTTTCCTTTAAAAACTGCTTTAAAGAATAGTAAAAAAGTTTATATAAAAGAAGCCTTAACATCACTGTATACTATGCATAATCTCCCTAGGCCGAACAGATTTTAATCTCCATTTTGACTCTTTTGGGTTGCATTTCTTTTCATTATGTCCTTAAAGAGTAAGGACAGCAAAATACATAGACCCATTAATCTTGCTTTGCTTCAATTCATGTGTTTTTGCTTTTTAACTAAGGTTTTATTTGGGATAACTTTTGTACTCTTTTCTAAATCAACTTTTTAGTACACAAATTTATTGAACTATAAATTTTTTTTTTACGAGAGAGCTGTTTTAGAAAGCAGCAAGGAAGCTGTCACAAACAAAGCCTTGGAAGTATAAAAAATTTTAAACTAAATAATTTTGTACTAAAAAATTGCTTCATAAAACAGTAAGAAAAACGTCCCAAATGAAGCCTAGATATCTATATTTATGATACATCATAAAAAATATATATATTGGTCGGGCACGAATCTTGATGCAAAATCAACTTGGAAACTTTTGAAATTAAAATTGAGACCATCCAAACTCTGATTTTAGCAAACTTACAGTCGAACTGAATGTCTCGGAAATACAAACCAAACGACAACAAATTCAACCCAATCCGAGCCCAAATGGGTCCAAGTCAAGGGCCAGAAGCATTGTTGGAAAGTTCGAACCATAATTTGGATTATTAAATGTTTTCCAAACATAACGTTCTTATAGTCTAATCGAGCGGCTCGACGAGATGAATCCAACGAGCCCAAGATCAATGAATTCCGAAATCACTAAGACATTCCAATGTCTATCAAACAATCCACGTTCAAGGGATTCAACATCGGATGTCCATCCAAACCACACCTCATTTGCCATAAATCTTCCACCTATTTACAGGCCATACTACTCATAAAAATCTATAAATAGAGCATCTTTCCTCTTGAAAAGGGGCCCCTAAGCCAAATGATTCAAGAGAGAGATTGGAGATCGCTCTTGCCTCTTTGCATCCTCGACCACTGCCTGGAGTCTCGCCGAACTACCACCTGAGGCCCTGAGTTCTGTCAGACCACCACTTGAGGCTCTGAGTCTCTTCGGACCACCACTTGAGGCCCTGAGTTCTGCCGGACCACCACCTTAGGCCATGAGTTTCGTCGGACCACCTGAGTTCCGTCGAACCACCACTTGAGGCACTAAGTTCTGCCGGACCACCACGTGAGGCCCTGAGTCTCGCCGGACCACCACATGAGGTACTTAGTTACGCCGGACCATCACTTGAGTCCTTGAGTTCCATCGGATCATCACATGAGGTCTTGAGTTTTGCCAGACCACCACCTGACGTCTTAAGCTCTATCAGATCATCGCTTGTCACCCTGAGCTTCGCCAGACCACCACCTGACGTCCTAAGCTCCGCTGAACCACCATATAACGTCCTAAGCTCTACCAAACAACTGCTCAATGCCCTGAGCTTCGCCGGACAACCACATGACATCCTAAGCTTCGATGTACCACCGCTTGACGCCTTGGGTTTCGTTGTACTGCTACCTAAAGCCCAGAGTTCTTTCGAGCCACCTACAAACACTAGTGTTCTACTAATTGACACCCGAACTTCCAAGAGACATCAGAATTCTGCCAAATCACCATGTGACCCTTAAAGTTCCACCAGACCATTAAGTGACGTCGGACTTTCATTTATCCCTGACTTCAACCATACGACTGATATTTGTAATCTAATCACCCTTCGGAGTGAATCAGCCTATTGTAACATGCTCAAATTCTAGTGAAATCTTTTTCAACTGGGCCAGTCCCCGTGATTTTTCCCCTTTCTAGGGTTTTCCACATAAAAATATCGCGTTCTTTGTGTGTGAGCTGGATATCCATGCAACGCTAAGACGTATGATCATAACTCTATTGTCGCGTATATTTTAGTCCGCAATAACTTGTTAAAGAAGTTTTTGGCCTTCATGATGGCCTTAGAAAGTAAATCGGAATAAGCATTAGTAAATATGCTAAAATTCTTAATCATAATACAATGTGGGTGATTATATTTTGTCATGCAATATATCTAAAATAGACAATACTTTAAAATAACAAAACCCTAAATAGGGTCAATGATCATTTTAAAATTGTTAAGAATTTTGACTTAATGCATAGCTTCTTAAATTATCACTTGACATGTATATTAATTCAAAATTTCACATTGAAGATATTTTTTCATTTGAAGGAAACAAAGGAGATTTAAAGACTAACCCTTTTACAAGTGATCAAGCCCATTATTGCTACTCTCTTCTTAGCCCACCTTCTTTGGGGTGGAATTAATAGTTATAAATAAAGTGCCATAAGACAATAATATACATGTTTTCTTATCATGTGAAAAAACTAGCATCTTAAGAAAATGCATGATTGCCAAAAAAAAGTTGGAAAAGTTTGCCCCAAAATTTATGGAGGCCTACTCAGACTTTAACTCTTCAAATAAGAGTTTTTTAGGCTTGATATAGTTGCATTATCCAAGCTATGTATGTCATAGGCCAATCATTATATCACAAAAGTAAGGCTTCATTTGGGAAAGCTTTCTTACTACTTTCTAAAATAGCTTTCTAGTATAAAAATTTTTTGAACTAAAAATTTTTGTACAAGAAAGCAATAAGAAAGTTGTCCCAAACAGAACCTAAGACTAATTATGGATAAGTGATTTTTATACTATCATTTCAATGTTCAATTTTAATTTTATGTTCTAGTGTCATGAAGAGGTAGGGGTGCATATTATGTTTGCATAAATTTTGTAACTCACATCATGCACTTGTGTCTGACCCATGCAAAATGGTTCAACCCAATTTAGACCCAAATTTTGATGCTTTCTCATATTATGGATGCTTTCCTATGTTACTTTTCATCTCTAATCGCCTCTTTAAGTTTTTGAATATGAGGATCATATTTTCATGTACGCGGAGACTTTCAACCACTTAATTTTATTATATATATATATATAGCAATTTCAAATAATAATAAAAATCTTTAAAATCAAGAAATAATGTAAATAATTATTTTTATTACTTTTCATTAAAAAATTACGTATTTTACCCTCACTTGCAAATTCATTGCTTTCTTCCCTCGACCACCGATCAGGGTTTCGGCACGTCGCCTGTCGATTTATCTCCTCGTCTCTCTGCCTCCTGCCCCTGACGAGTGACGGCACTCTGCTTCAATTCATTCCTTGCCGGGACAGCAATCTGCGATCCAGACCGCTTCCAAAGAGATCCGCCTTAAGCGGTAAGACGCTAGTTATTTCCTATGGCTTTCCCCCCTTGCCCTTTTGAATCTGCCCTTCGCTTCTTCTTCGCGCTGCTTGCCATTACTCCGTGGCCGAGACGGCAGCCCGCCCCTTTTTTTTTTTGCCTACTCTGCGTTTACTGCGGCAGTCGTCGCCCTAGTTCACGAGTGAGCGCTGATTTCCTTCTTTTCGTTCTTAATTTCGCTTTTTCTTCTTGCCCTAAACTTGCAATGCCGGCGCCCTGCTCCTCAGCTGCTGGGACTCCAGTGATTTTATTTAATATCTTCTATCACTGCCATATTCCTCTTCCATAAGCTAGCTTCCGGCTTTCCAACCTTCCCCTCACCCCCTCTCTTTTTATGAAGTGTTGGTTGTTGTCTAATGTGCATGCTCTGCGAAAATTCATTTGTGTAGATGGTTTATCTTATGAAATAAATGCTTAAATAGGCATTGATGCTTGAAGTTTTCCATTCTGTTCGCTAGTTTGAAGTATGTTGCTTAGAATGTGACAGTCCCACTTGACTAAATTTTTAGATCATGCTTATGATTTGGGTGGGTTTTCCTTGGTTTTGTGAATTCCAATAATTTGGTGAAACCTTCATGCCTTTGAGGATCGTTATCAGTATTATGTTTGCAAATTTTGATGGAAAACTACACACTTGAATATTCAATTATATGTATTGGAAAATTCACCTTAGTATCTAAACTTCCTCTATGATTCTTATTTGTTTGTACATCTATTTATCTGTACAAATATGTGAATTTGTGCTTGTTTGTGCTCGATTTATAAAAAGAGAAGTGATTTTTAGTGTTGCACTACCATAACGTATGAATTTATTGGCAACACCCAAATTTTTACTATTTTTGGTTACCTCCTTAATCTATAAATTCTTTCAAAGATGTCACTCTAGTTATTGATCTTAACCTTAAGGGAACATTCTAATTTTTTTTTAAATCATTTATTTCACCGCAAGAACAAAAATAACTTGCCCACACCTCTTGTGTGGTTGTTTATAACCTTCCAAATGTTAAACCTGGACCATTGGTACAATTTAGCTAGGTTAAATCGATGAACTTAATATTTTGGGCTATAAAATTATCTCAAACCCAAATATTTACAAATTGAGTCTAGTGAGCCCCTAAACCTAGGCCCATGTTTTTAGGATTAGTTCCACTTATCTATGGCTAAATTATTTTTGGTGGGATCAATTTGAGATTTTCTTGAGTTGCTTAGAGGATCCATCCATACTTGCATACCTTTCCCTTGTCGGGACAAGTTTTGTTAAGCCAACGAAGCTAATTCAATAATGTGTAGGAGAAGAATGTCGTATACTACTATCATGTGTAACATGGTTCCTGAATGGATAATAAATTGTTATATATGAGATATGTTACTTTAGAAGGATACACAAAGCCATATTGTTGCTTACTCCGCCTTTAATCTAATCCATTAAATAAGCATTGCATGTTAATAATGTGCTTAGGTTGGATTAAATTGCTGATGTTACCAACTAAAATCTACTCGACTTGTAGGACAATCCTTTTGTCACTTCTAAAGTTATATTATATTATCTACAACGATACCTGTATTAAGCTCAGCTTTTTTTTTTTTCATTTTTATATAACATTAAGTGGAGGATTGTATTAGATAGTCGACAACCATTGTCAGGTCCCAAGTCCTAGATGATAAAAGTGAAGGGTTGTATTTGGTAGTTGACAATCAGCGTAAAACATGTCAAATAATCATGACATTAATCCTTTAATATATTGTGTTAATATTTGGACATTACCCAGAAGTGACATGCTGTATGACTTGAATATAGGGAGAACTGTCCAAGGGCCACTACATTGGTGCTCAGTGTAGTGTTAAATAAGCAAGGATTCCCACATCAGTAATGGATGTGGGAAAATAAGCTAGTCCATAAAACTTGGAATATAAGTTCTCTTATAGACAAATTAATAGAACTAATAGATGTTATGATTCATAGGAATATAAATATTTTATGCATTTAAGAAACTAAATGGATTAGAGATAGTTTAGGATTTAAACTATGGTATTCAGATAGGGGTTATACTATAAATGGTGTAGGTGTGATTATAGATAACGGTTTGAGTGATAATGTTGTAGAAGTTAATAGAATTAGAGATAGAATTATGGCTTTAAAAATTATTATTGATGATAAGATTATTAACATTATAAGTGCTTATGTTTCTCAAGCAGGTTTGGATATGTGTTCTAAATTAAAATTTTCGAAGGACTTAGAATAATTAATATAAAATATACCTCTTAAAGAAATAATTTTTATTAGAGGAGATTTAAATTGACATATTGGTAAAGTCGTAAAAGATTTTAAAAATATTCATGATGATTATGAGTTTGGGGAGACTAATGAAGTTGGTAAGACCATATTAGACTTTGCTCTAGCTTATGATTTTGTGATTGCTAATACATTTTTTAAGAAAAGAGAGGAGCATCTCATCACTGATAAGAATGAATATAGCATAACTCAAATTGATTATTGTTCTTATATGAAAATAGATCGTTTAGATTGCAAATATTATAAATTTATTCTGATTGAAAATTTATGTCCCAACATCACTTATTACTTTTGGACTTTAAAATGAAGGGGCGAAATATGAAAAATAAAGTAAAATGTTGTTCTAGGATTAGAGAGAGACATTTAAAGAATACAAATAAAATATTTTTTAGAGAAAGATTCAAGATATTAAGATTTTGACGTGCATGAGGAAATTAATGTTATGTGAAAAAAAATTATGATATTAAGAATGTTGCAAAGAATGCGCTTAATCAAAAAGAAAAACTCATAAGAGTAAAAATAATTGGTGGTTGAATCAAAATGTACAAGAAAAGATGAAAAATAAGATTTGTTATAAAAATTTGTTTCGATGTAAAAGCTTGGAAAATTGAGAAATATAAAGGGGCTTGCAAGGAATATGAGAAAGTAATATACGATGCCAAGAACTTAGCTTATAATGATTTATATAATAGATTATATACTAAGGAGTGTGAAATATATATATGTATAATTTAGCCAAACAAAGAGATAAGAAAAATAAAGATATAATTCAAGCGAAGTGCATTAAGGATGAAGATTAAAAGTGCTTTTATTAGAAGAGTATATTTAACAAAGGTGGATGAGATATTTCAATAAACTTTTTAATGAAGATTGTGAGAATAAAATTGACTTTAGTGACCTTAGCATCCTAAATGAAAATAGAGATTTTTATTTTTGTTGTCGTATTATTAAAATCGAAGTTAGAGATGCCTTAAAGAAAACTAAGTGTGAAAAAGTGGTTGGACTTGATGATATTCAATAGAGGTGTGGAAATGCTTAGGAGGTGAAGAATTTATTGGCTTACAAAAATTTTCAATATAATTTTGAAGGCTTAAAAGATGCCAGATTAGTGGAGAAGAAGTGTGTTGATTCCTATTTTTAAGAATTAAAGTGATGCACAAGTGTGTGTTAATTATAGAGGAATTAAATTAATGTGCTATACTTTAAAACCATGAGAGAGAGTTATTAAGCATAGGTTATGACATGATACTAAGGTTCCTCAAAATCAATTTGGATTCATGCTAGGTAGGTCTACTATGAAGCTATACATTTATTAAGAGGTTTGATGGAGAAGTATAGAGATAATAAAGAGGATCTACATATGATATTTATTGATTTAGAGAAAGCATATGATAAAGTTCCAAGAAAAGTGTTCGGGAGAGTTTTAGGAAAGAAATAATTAATAATGCTTATATTCAAGTCATTAAAGATATGTATGTAGGACTATTACTTGTGTTTAAATACAAGGTGAATTGACCTAGGGGTTTCAAAATAAGTTTTCAGGTCTGGTTCGGGTCAATCCTCAAATCACTATTTAACCTGACCCGATTTTGGAAACTGGTTAGAAATTCAACCCCAACCGACCCCAAACCCAGGTCGATCCGACCTAACATTGACTAGGGCACAAGCTGTCGGACGCATGAGCATGGGGTCGAATGCGAGCAAGCAAGGGTTGCAGGGCGGACACAGGCGAGCGCTTGCTGCGGGATCGAGCGCATGCTGCGAGAAAGCTTGGGGTCGGGCTGCAAGTGTGGCCTTGGGATCGAGCGCAAGGGTCTGGGGGCGAGCAAGACATGTCTCAGTGGTTAAAGCGCAGGGGGAGGGTGCGGGATGCGAGCGTGATGTTAAGAACAGTGGTCGACCCTACATAGTGGGATAAAGGCTTGACGAGAATGCTCAGGTGGATGAAGATGAGATTTGAGAGAGTCGCCTAAGATGGTTTGGACACATAAAACATTGGCCTTCTGATGATCTGGTTAGAGGGTTAGATGTATTGGATTTGGCCTATGTTAAGAAAGGTAGAGGTAGACCTAAAAAGACTTGGCTAGAGAATATTATAAATGATATTTTTATTAAATTTAAATGAGAATTTGACTCTTAACAGGACACAATGGAGAAAAATCATTCATATAGTCGACCCTACATAATGGGATAAAGGCTTGATGATGTTGTTGTTGTATATAACATCATGTATTAACTTCGAGGTTAATAAAAAAAAATGTATTAACTTCGAGGTTGTTTGATTTGCTAAAAAAGGAATATAGAGTAAATTGGAATATACTTTGTAAAAGAAATGTGGTGTATTTGAAATGATTGGATTTATTTGAATGAATTTAAAATAAATGCAGTTGGTTCCTTTTTTGTTTAGTTTGAAGTAAAATAAATGCAGTGTAAAGCTGAATAAAGGTGGCGGCAGGGATTACGAACAGTGGTCGGGGACTGTGAGGGGTTGCTGACAACCGTGACGGGCGGCCACACAGGGGGAGGGGTGCAGCAGGCTCTGAAGAGCTAGAGAGGAGTTATTTTGCGATGTACTTTAGAATTCAACAAAAAATGGCAAGTGTTGAATTCATAAAAAATGAAATATGGAGTGAATTTGGAATTCACCAAAATTTTACTCTGCATTTTTTGTTCATCAATCCAAATATTAAAATTTAAAAAAGCCTTGCATTTAGAATACTTTACACTCACTTTTCATGAAACTAAACAAACCTTCACAGAAATTTTATCTTTTGCACGAACAAAGATTTGAGTGTGGCATGGATACTGCCATTGCCTCAAAAGCATAAATAGACTGTCTTGATATTGCTTTTGTAATAAAGCTATGGGGAGGACTTTCTTATGCTGACTAGACGGGCAGGTGGCTGGGCGGGAAATTACTCTCTCTTTCTCTATCTATCTATCTCACATCTCCTCCTGTCTTTCTGTCATTTGCATCCAACAATCATTTGATAATACGGTGAACCTTGTAGTTGGCTTCACCATGGTTGAAGTTTTCAACTTCACCATTTTTTTTCCTTCAACTTAAAATCATTTGCAAGATTAATTATTTCTTCATTCTTTGTTTCTTAATATATATTGAGCCATTAACTATCAATAGTCTCCATCCATTATTTGAAATTTCTTCATGGTATATGTTTACACTTTTTCTATGAAATATTTCATATAAAATTTAGGTGATTGTTTTGAATCCAAATCGGTGCTGTTGTTCTAAAACTTCTCATTTTGTTTTTTTTATGTTGCTTAAATGTTTAAGTGCTACTATTTTTTGCAGATCTTATACGTGAAAAAGAAATCTCATCCTTTGCCAAAGCTAATGACTTATCCTTGGTTTTATGGAAAGCAGTTATCTAATATTAATCCCTTGTTCTGCTTTACCTAGTGATTTGTTGGCTTTGGGTAAATCGACAATGAAATGATGAAAGAGGTTTGTGACTAGAGAGGGTATTTTCAAGAATTTAGATTTGGTTGGAAATTAAGGTCCCTATCTATATTGTGGAATACCTGGGGAGAATCTTGTTAGACCGGTCCGTGCGGGACCGGCCCAGCGCAAACTGGGCGGAGAAATCTCCGCCCGCGGAGATGCCAAGCAAGCCGCACACCGTGTGGGAGCTTTTTAGGAAGCTTTTTTGAGGGTTTTGAGAAGGAAATTTGAATGTAGGGACAGTTTAGGGATTTCCTTTTGATTTGTATGCATTAAATAGTTTGTTTTTCTTTGGTTTGGACATCTTGAATTTGGCTGAAATTTGAGATCTCTTAGATTTAGGTTTTCTTTGGCTCTAGCAGCGTCTAGAGATTTGGGAGAGATCGATCCTCCTCTCGAATTGAGGATCAATTGTATCTTGCGATTTTATTCATTGTCTAGTGGAATACAAGTCTCGCTTTGAGTTTTCTTTCAGTTTTCCTCTTAAAATCTGCTGTCTTATTGCTGTAAACAGCAGTTTTTATGTGATTTTCTGCGGTGGACAGCAGTCCAGTCACTGTTCTCGCTGTTTTTCCGAAGGTTGATAGAAAATACTTGAGATCTACAAGTATTTCCTATCAAATCCTTAGAGCAAATAAATGCTACTAGTCTAAGCTATTTTGTATCCCTAGCTCATTCCCATATATTAGCCATGATAAGTAGCTGCTCATCCTTCCTAGCTTCAGTTTCAGATAATGCGAGTGGAACATAGGTGTTGTATGAGCGCGATATTCATGGCATTGATTGTTCTCAAAACTAATGTTTATCCCCAAAGTTCAAAGAATGAATGAAGCATTTCTCATATCCATATGATGTTCTTCATGTTTAAGAATAGATGGGGGAAAAACAACAGCCCGTTCGCACCTATTGCTGAATAGCAGTTTGCCTCCAAGCTTAAATTGTTTTCAAATTCTTTTTTCCCTTGTTTTTGATAAAATCCTATTTGGTTTGGTTTGTTGAATTTTTTATGTGCCACGTGTAATGGAGGTGTAGTTTGGCTTATGTGTATGCATTATGCTTATTGCACGCAACTGTTTTATTCTTATCTTTTTTCTCAAGGACCTCCATGTAGATAGTGTATCATCTCGCATCTTGACATCCTATTTTATGTTGTTATAGCTTGCATATAGACATAAAATTATACCAATCATTCATCATTCCATTCATTTATCCGTTATGTCAATATATATTCACATCAATACAGAAACATCTCACATCTGCTTTACCCACAATGTAGATGCACATTGAAATGAAGAACATTAGATACATATGTATGTATATGCTTCTGCTTGATGCACCATTGATGATTTAAATAGGCTTTTTTTATTCATTATGATGTAGCTTCTTATGAATGTTACTATCGAATTACAATCAAACTATCGCAGTGTTTTAGCTTATCCACAAGGTGCCAATGTCTACGAAAGTTGACTCGCCATCTTCTGTCGAAGCTCGTCAAGCTCCAATTTCTGCTTCAACTACAGTTTCATCCAGTAGCCCCAAGGTTTCCATGTTTGGGACAAAAGCCGGATTTGTCATACCAAAGAATAAATTGTCAGGTTCCTTGGTTCCCATTTTCCGTGGTGGGAGCAAAATAGATACTGCAAGTGTTGTCAAGGAAGAGAGCACAAAACAAGTCCAACGAAAAACAAAATGGGGTACGGATCTTACACAAGATGCTAATGTTCGAAAGGGAAAAGCTTTAGCTTATCAGGTATGTTATGTGCCTTTCCGTCTTGTGCTTTTGCCAAACCTTTCATACAAAAGTATAATAATAATCTATGCTGATTATTTCCTACATTTTTATAGTGTTCTGTTAGGTATAGTTTTTTATTGTTACTAATCTAATATAAGAAAGATTGGTATTCTCATTGGTGACTTTCCACCCTCCAATCATTATGATTTTCCTGAGCACTAGAATCACACAGCTCCATTTAGTGAAAAGGGAGCTACTTCATGCGTGTCAATGGAAGGTCTCTAACCCCTCCAAGGCACTAAAGTGGCATTCCTTGTGAATTCTTACATAGGAAGCTTCAAATTCCAGGCGGCATTAAGTGATATTACTGCCTGTCTGGTGGTAAAAATTTTGAGCAGACTAGAGTGGAGCAGATCACTCAGCAGCTGAAGTCTGGATCTCTGGAATTTGAAGAAGATCAAGGTTCTGAGTCACCAAAGCTGGTTTCCAATGCTAATTCAGATAGCAAGGTATAAACTATTGTTTTTATATAATTTATGATATTTTCCTTTCATAACATTCAATTTTTAATTTTAATTTTAAGCGGTTGTGTTAAAACATTGCAGGCTCGCAAGGTTCAGCCTCTGGAATTGGAACGAAGGGAACTTATTGGTAAGCTGCAAGACTTGTAGATGAGCTCAACCTACATACATTTGATTTCACTATATATATCTTTGTTTGCTTTCAGGCGAAATATTACGGTTAAATCCCAGTTACAAGGCTCCACCAGATTACAAGCCACTAATGAAGGAGTCTAAAGTTCTAATTCCAGTACGTAGAGCTGAAGCGTATTTGATTTTTTTTTTTCTGCAGACAATTTTCTTTTCCTAGTTTGATTTTTATTTTCAAAACAATGTACGGCATCTTGTTGTTTTCACTATAGAAGGGAGCCGGGACTGATGTACTTGTTATGATGGTGCTACTTGTACAAGTTATTAGGAAAATGCACAATCGCATAAATGCACCAACTAAATTGAATTGGACCCATAGATTTTGTAGGTGCAGGACAAGCCCATCTCATTCTTCTGAGTGGAAATTTGAAGGTCGCGCCTAGCTTTGAAATGCATCAATTCTAACTTATGTAATTCATTTGTTTGAACATCATATATTCCATTTGTAGACTAACTTCCGTAGCTTCACAATATTAGAAATTGGATTGAATGTTCATTCCTTTGATACCTTTAAAACAGGGTCTTGAAGTTTTTTTCTTGAAAGAAATGAAGATTCTGCTTCATTTCCTTTAGGAAACATCTGTTGACCAACATGAGCTTTCTGAAATGGAAAGTATTTGTAGTGGGCCTAGAATAGAGGAGCATCATTGTGTTCTTCTTGTTTCTGAGAAGGGATAATGTCAGTCGGGTTGTTTTTCTTAGGCATCTTGCTGGTAGTTCAGAATGTACAATAAAATAAGGTGCAGAGTATAATAATAATTAAAGAAAATCTTAAATGGTGCTTTGAGGGCTTATTCTTTCACTAGTGCAAATCAGATCGTTTTCAACAAAACTGAATAGAGGCAAAGGGGGTCGCTTCCTAGGAAGTAAAAGAGTAGGCGGCAATGTCACTTTTTTTACAGCTATTAGTTGCTTAGTGGTGGATATTGTTGTGATAACTGATGACCATGAATAGCAAGGGCAGGCAATCATAACATAACCAAATTCATTTCCCTTAAAAGAAGTCAAGAAGTGAAAATCCTAATCATTACATACAAAGATCATTTAGGTTTTTTAGTGGTGGAGATTGTTGTTATAATTGATAACCATGACTCTAGCAAATTCAAGCAATCTTAGCAGAATCAAATTCATTTGCCTTCAAAAACTTTGAAATAATGAACACTCCTTTAAGAAACCCAAACATGAAAACCATAAAATCATATAAATACAAACTAATGGATGTGCATGGTGTGTTGCAGCTATACCAAAAGCTGTAATATTGGTGTGCTTGCACGTGCTCTCACAAACAGAAGAATGCCATCCACTAACCCTCGTTGATTGTGAGATCATCAATCCGCCATTTTGGTTAGGCTGGTGGGGCAAGGGTGCAAAAAATTAAAGCTAGATTAGGATATTGGAGTTGTTAATGGTGCTTTTGAAAGACAAAGGGTTGTTTGTGGAGAAAGAGCTGTGTGGCTCTCATGGCCATGGTTGTGGAGAAAGAGCCAGGGTGATGAGGATAATGAGAGAGGCGGGATGATGATGAGGAAGAGTAATTGACCAACTATGGTTTAGCTTTACTTCAAATAGATTTCTTTTTCCTTACATATTTAGCGAGTACTTTAGGTATTTTGTTCAAAAGTAATGGTATTGTTAAGATAGAGACCTAAATGAAAGCGGATAGCAATGTTAGGGACCTAATTCTACTATATTCTTTTTAAATGAGGGCGATCCTCATACCTCAAGGGCCCACGTGCAATTTATCCAAAATCTTCAATTGACTATGAGTTGACATTTCGATTAATTTGCTCTTCATTATTTGATGATTACTTGAATAATTTCTTGGTTCATATAATATTACTATATTGATGTTGAATACGGTATTTCTGTGTTTTTAGAATTAATGACCGTAGGACTGGCTTTAATGGAAATAATTTCTGCTCAAGTGCTACTATTATGCAGCAATGATATATTTGCTTTGAAAAGTGCTAGCACACTTGGTGCTTCTGCTTGGAAGTACTGATATATGTCTCATTAATTGTAGTTTTTTTTTTTCAATATTTGCAGATTAGAACATATCCAGGCTACAACTTTGTTGGCTTGTTATTGGGGCCTGAAAGCAACACACAAAAAAGACTTGAAGAAGTAAATCCGCAACACCATTGCTAGCTTTTTCATGCAGGCTTGTTATTATTTTTTCACTGATAGAGACAAATTTCAAATAGAACGTTCTTATGTATCCCTTGTTTCAAATTTCACTAATATGTCCCTCACTGTCTCGTAAGTTTTTGATAGTTCTTTCTGTTAATAAGACCATTAAAGTTCTTGTTTGAAGCTTTACATTGGTCTGTCTTTTACCACGAAAAGCTCAAACCAGTCCTTTTACACATTCTTATGTGTCTATTTACTTGAAGAACCAACCCCTTCCTCTTGTGCTCATTCTATTAAAGTTTCTCTTTCCTTCCTCCACTGCCATAAACCCCTCCCACAACTACATTGTGGAGGGTAAAATGTTTTGTCAGTTGGGTCTGATTCAAGAGGGAAAAAGCAAGTTGGTCATCATTGGAGCTTGGGGTTCGCAGAAACCACCTTTTAATTGGGTGGCCGCACTCTAAAGCCATGTGGTCCATGTTTTTCAATTAGTTGTGGACAGTGGGTAGGTTTAGAAAAATAGTAACATAATGTAATTTGCGATGAAACGTAGAACTATTGTCATCAATCATCATTCTAAGGATATTTTTCATTCCTATATAAACTGTATCAAAGACCACAGCATGCTAGCTTTTCTTTTGAATTGAATAATATACATTTAATGTTCTCATGCTTGCATATTCATGCATTAGGAAACTGGAGCTAAAGTACGAGTTTATGGAACTAAATCTGGCTTCGGGGAGAAGGTAAGTTATTTTCATTTTTCCCTTCAACATTGAATCATTTCCATTTCTATAGCAATATATTGACATAACTACTTTCTTTCGCACAGCACTGACAGAATTATGGGTAAAAATTTTAAAAGTGAATGTGTTTTTGGGTCACCGAAAGAAGTTTTTTTATTTATTTTTTATTTACCTAGTTTTTTATAAGGTTAGTATGTGACATGAGGCATCTTTTTTGTCAATCGATATATGTGGAAAACTTTATGAAATCAAGTAGTGCTACTGGATACATGAAGGATGAGGCATGCCAATGAAAAAAATAAGAGTGGTGATACAAATATGAAAGTCTATACTTAGGGGGAATGCAAATGTATTAATACTGATTTAATTGTCTTTTTCATACTTCAAAATTTTCTACGTATTTTGATTTTACATGCATATGATGAGTATCTCTATAAGAAGGCGATGCATTCTCTAATATTTTGATTTACCTAGTCTGTTTTGGTTTACCGCTTGACTGGAAACTACTTCAATTTCACTATTATCAGATTTTCTTGTTCAACTGTTTATGATTGCTTGTTTCAACATGTAGGGTTCTCCTATTTATCCGGTTGTTGATTTGGATGGTGGTTTTATGTTTTCATGTGCTTCTTGCCTTGTTTTTGGTTTTTACTATCTTCTTTTTCAGGGAATTCAGCTTCTCTGGTGTCTTCTATTTTCAATTTTGCACTGTAGCTGAGAGTCAGTTGCTCTATTTCCTTCTATTATCGTTTGCATTGTATTTAGGATTTGTCCACTCTATTTCCTTCTGTTCTTGTTTTTTGCATTGTATCTAGGATTCAACTGCTATGTTTCCTTCTAATCTTAGTTTTTGCACTATAGTTGGGTTTCAACCATATTGGCTGCCGATCTTGGAACTTAGCGAAACTTTCTGTTTTTGTGCTGGATTCAACTGCTATGTTCAACCATATTGGCTGCCGATCAAAATTTTGTGTGCTATAGCCTATAAGATGCAACTTTTTTATTGCATTGTAATGGTTTATGATAATTTAAGGGAACATTGGTCCATGTACCCAACCCAGCGTGGGCCTAATTCTCTTTGGTGGATTTTATCCTAGTTTTTTTTTTAATCTACATTATGATTGTTTTTTCATGTGTGATTGAGATTTGGTTAAATCTATCACACTGTTTTTTCCCTGTTATTTAATTTTAATTGTTGTATATTTTTGTTCTTTCCTAGATTTCTTTCCTAATTGCAGCTGTAGACTATCTTCTAATTATCATTTGGAGTGAGTTTTACATGTTTTTTGAATTACATCAAAAGGGTTGAAGTTTTTGATTGATTAGAGTTGGACTGAAATTGTATTTTTATCATTTTTATGCTTCCCATCCTAGATTTGCACTAGAGAAACCCTAGATCTTGAGCTGCATTGGATTTGGTGTCCGAGCATTTTGGTACATCATTATGTTAACAAAAAATTGGGTCAATTAATCGAATAAAAATTGGGTCAATTAATCGAATAATAGACATGCAATATAAACAAAGTCATTTAAGTTGTTGCTTTAGGTGACAACATGACTATGGTGAGGTTTAAAATTATATTTCTATGTTAATGTGGGGTTTAATCTTGGAGAATTATAAAATTGAATTGATAGTATGATTTCTCTTAGCCGTACTTAAAAGACTTTTGTTTTCAGAGTGAAATAACCAAGTCAGACATTAGTAATTCTCAGGAGACGTACGATGACCTTCATGTCCATGTTTCAGCAGATACATATGAGAAGGTTGATGCAGCAGTAGCGCTGATTGAGCTTCTACTCACTCCAGTATCTGTAAGTTCGCTGTATTTATATCCACATAAAAGGTGTGCTGTTCCCTCTGATGTTCTGAAAAATTATGCGTTGTTTTTTTTTTTTTTTAACTTTTGATCAGGGAAATGCTGGAGTCACTCCAAAAGTTGCGAGTGAGGATGTTCAAACCAAAAATCTGGACTCATCTGGTATTTTTATGACGCCTGTGAACAATGTTATTCAAGCTGTACCTCAATCTCCGTCTCTGCCTGTTCAGCCTGGCCAATCACCATTTCAACCATACCCTGCTCCCTGGTTCCCAACAACCACACCAAATGTTCCTTCTAATCCATCTTCTGCTTTCATGCCTCCACTTTTTCCCAACAATCCTACCCAGTTTCCACTTTTAAGGCCTCCTCCTGGCATCCCTCAGTATTTCACTCAAGCTCCTAATATCCTCTCAGTTCCAAGAACATCAACGCCGACTGTCTTAAGGCCCCCATTACCTATTCAATTGCCTCCAAACCAACCCCCTTCAGGCCCCATCTCACAGTCATTGACCTCTCGCCCAGTGCCAACTTTAAAGCCACCTGGACAAGTAAACCCGCTGATTGGACCCCCAATTAGACCACCAGTAACTTCTTCTGCCTGGCCCCTTGCTCCAAATCCTTCAGGGCCAAGCATTAATCAGGTGGCTCCTTCAAATGCAACAATGAGGGCTTTGGGTGTTCCTTCAGCTTCCATGAGCTCTGGGCCTTCTCAATTTAACGTTTCTGATATTGCAAGGCCTCCCGCTGCAAATTTTACCCCTCACTCATCTTCTCTCATTTCCGCCCGACTTTCCACAAATCCACCTATTTTTTCGCCGGTGCCTTCGCAGACCGGACTTGTTCCAACTCCAGGAATGGCTTCATCATTCTCAGGATCATTGGCTTCACCACCACCAGCTCAACGTCCAACTTCTTTCCTGCAGAGAGCTCCTTCTGCCCCGGTAATGACTTCACCTTCCCCTTTAATAGTCCGGGCTCCTATCCCAATGCCAGCACCGCCTCATGCACAAGCTCCTATACCCGTGCAACCACGGTTGCAGCCACCTCAGCCACTGCCACCTCTATCCACTTCCAATGCAACCATCATTCCTACTTTCCCTCCTTCAGCAAACAGTCCTATTGGTGCTTCCCCTGTTACAACTCTCAAACCACCGCGCCCCATTTCCGGCGATTTTACTTTTCAGCCTCTCCGAACTCAACCACCACCATCTTCCCCAAACACTCCGGCAGCTCACAATTCTGCACTACAGAACTCACCACAGGCTCCATTTGCAGCGCCAAAAGCACCATCCTTTCGACCAGCTTTACAAAGTCCCATTCCTGCAGCCCTTCCTCAAAGTTCTCCTAGGCTTCCAGCTGCTCCTACTGCTTTTCCAGCCAATGCAAGCAACATTAGACCACCATCTCACATGCTTCAAGGATACCCAAGCCCAGCTCCTGTACAGCCAGTGGCCCAAGCTGTTCCAGTTGGCTCACCACGCTTTCCTAGTGCTGCCCAAGCTCCAAATCCTTCAGGAGGCTCCATGCCTGCTTATCCTGAAAATTTTCATCGATTGCCTCTTGTTAGTAGACCTGCAGGAAGTTTTACTGTACCAAACCAACCGCTAGCGGATAAACCAATCGGCTTTACGCCCGGAAATGTACACACAAGTCCTGGAGGCAATCAGATTTATGATCCATTTTCACCAACAGCTTCAGCAGCACCTCCACAACAGGGAGCCAGTAAAAAACCAGAGACAGATGCTGAATATGAAGATCTAATGGCCTCTGTGGGAGTAAAGTGATTCTGTTAGAAACACAAACTCAAACAGAGCATTTTTAAAAAGGAATCGTCTATAGAAGAAGAATTTAATGCTTGCAAGTTGAGAGGGTGTCTAGCCTTATAAACTGACTGGTTTGAGCACACTTTACATGTATTAATGTAGGAAATTAGTGTAGACAAAGTTGAAATTGCAGTGTTGCCATTTTGAACCATCAATTTTCATGTACTAATCTTCATTTGCCTAAGCATTATTAACCTTTTTATAAAGTAAATCACCATGTCTAATTCATCCCTTACAGTAAACATACAAGCCTATTCAGAACAATAACGAGATCTTGTCCTCATTCAGGAGATTTCAACCTTATGAATGTTAGTGCAATGGTTAAAATTAAAATATTTATGCTAAAAAGTTGCTTTAAAAAGGCCGTCCCAAATAAAATCTAATTCACGACTTCATGATGTTCACTATAAGTGCTAAAGATCACTAAATATAGTCTTAAATCCACTGTTTTGAGCCACATTATGGCTAATATAATCACATTATGGCATTCCCAAGCAATTGCAAATGAACATATCATCAAATTGAATTATTTTATCCATTTCAACAATGGTTGAATGATGTTCTATACTATGATAATTATAAAGAATTATTTGTGCAATTATAGACCCTTGAATGAATTATTGGTTGATCATTTATATTGGAAATGATATATTTAAAAATATTGATAGTAAAATTATTATAAAATGATTTAAAAATATGAAGATTCGGAGGGATATATTATATAAGTCAGAAGACATATAAGAGGATATAAATAACTTATGCTTTGGATTGTAATATTTTTATAATATAAATTTTATAATAATAAATTCTTTTTTTTTTAAATAGACTATACTGATTTAAAGTCCGATTAAAATGTGTATTTAAATAAAAAAAAATTCTAACTCCACCACTGCATAAATAATATCAACTCAATAATTTCGATGGACCTCAACTTAAGTCTAACTCCAACCATTGTTTAATAAATTCAGCACAATAAATATAGCTAAATCATATTATATAAAAATATCCTAATATAATATGATTGTTATTATTGAAAATTTTAATCACATTACAAAAATTTTGAATTTAAAATTAACATGATTTTTATTTTAACATTCAATACTAAAATAGTGGGAAAAAAACTTTAAAAAAAACTAAAAAAATAAGTGAGAAAAAATTGATAATGAATGGTAAGGTAATTTTTTTTTCTCTCATATTTTCTCCTTGTTCCTACTTCTACTATAAGGCAAAAACCCAAAACCCCGCTTCCTAAGCCTCGCTGCTTCGGCCGCCAACCCCCATCGTCGTCCAACCGTCTTCACTGTCCTTCTTCAGCGACCAGTCCATTATTCTTTTTCGTCTGGTTTCTAACCCTAACTCCATTCTGCTTGATTTTTCCCTCTTAACTGGATCCGAGGGTTGGAATACTGTGCTTGTAAGATATGTCACCGTCTCAGTTGTCTTCTTCAGTCAGGTCTGAAAATTTTCCTAATCCTTCAGTCTTACAGTGGTACCATCGTTTACCTGCATTTCTTTCTTCTATAAACGAGCTACTTCGGATTTAATTTCTTCCTCTTGTTGTTGGGATTTCACTTCATCTTGTTATCATTTGGATATTACCTGATGGGTGTTCGATTCGTATTTCTATTAGCTGGAATCACTTTTTTAATCTCAAAGGTCTTACTTGATGAGAAGAGTGGGTTTAGGTTTATTGCATGCAACAGTTTTGAGAAAAAAGAGACCTTCAATCAATTATTCTTCTGCGTCCTCTTTGTTATGTTGCGATCACCATCTCCCCATTTCAGATTCAACCAGTCAACTGAGTTCCACCAATGGAATTGAGGGAACAGATTACAGTTTTAATTTCAACAGGCGCCCAAGTTTTCTTCCTTATGTGGCCATTGTTGTGCACACGTTGGATTGGAGTTTGGTGAAGGATACAAAGTTTGCTGATACCGTGAATCAGTTTGGTTTATCTCATTCAGTAGAATCATTTGCGATTCTCATTGGAATATTTTCCTTATCAGGAATGCATGGCAAGGCTCGCTTCTTATTTAGAAGCATTGTAGAGTACTACAATAATTCAAAGCATAGTAGCCCGTGCTTTGAGTTGTTTGATTTGCTATCTTTATTGGTCAGTTTTGCAAATGGTGCTGTGAAATTGTTAGAACCTTATAGATCTGTCATTCAGGTTTTAGCTGAGAATTCCATGTTTGAGGATGCAATCATGGCATATTTGAAGGTTAAAAAGATTGGATTGGAAATTGATGTTCAGTTATGCAATTTCTTGATTAAACGTTTGGTTGATAAGAATGAGATTGAATATGCTAGGAGTTTGTTCTATGACATGATGAAATCAGGCCCACCACCTAATGTCTATACTTACACTATTATTATAGATATGTGCATGAAGAAAGACATAATGGAGGTGCAGGAAGCTAGTTATATTTTATTGGAAATGGAAAGGAATGGTGTGAGACCAAATGAAGTTACCTATGCTACATATATTCGAGGGCTTTGTTCTGCTGGAGATGTAGAATCTGCTTGGGACTTTCTCCAGGATTTGAAGAGTAGAAGACTTCCATGTAACACTTACAGTTATAATGCCATTATTTATGGCTTCTCTTCTAATGGCAATTTGCAGAAATCTCTGATGGTATTTAAAGAAATGAAGGAATGTGGAGTTCAACCTGATGTCCATAGCTATAGCATTTTGATAGATACATTATGCAAGGGGGGTAGCATTGCTGAAGTCAACAACTTGTTTATGGAAATGATAAACAATGGAATCATGCCCACCATTGTTAGTTATAGTTCCCTTTTATATCGTTTATGTTCGGTTGGGAAAGTTAAAGATGCTTGCTTAATATTTAATCAGCTACGGGAAAATGGACAATCATTTGACCTCATTGCTTATAGTATCCTTACTGGTGGCTGTTCCCAGAATGGGGATGTAAATGGTGCTCTGATGCTATGGGGGGACATGATCAAAAGGAATCATGTTCCGGATGTTTATTATTATACCATTCTTGTTCATAGTTATTGTAGAGTTGGATGGATGGACGAAGCTCTAATACTTTTCGAAAGCATGTATAGTACCGGTGTGATGCCCAATATTGTTACATGCACTTTAATCATTGATGGGCTTCTCAAAAAAGGATTCACGATAGAAGCATTGAAGTTTTTGAATGGCATGGATGAGCTTGGAATTATTCCAAACTTGTATACATTTACTACTATTATCAATGCCATGTGCAAAGCACAGATGGAAGAGGTGGCATGGGGTTTTTTGGGAACTGTGATGAAGAGAGGCTTTGTTCCTGATGTTGTTTTGTACAGTACCCTTATTCATGGCCTTGTCAATAAATCAAGCTTGGAACAAGCATTTAAGCTTTTTGGTAAAGTGATGAAGGAAGGTGTTACTCCAAATATGTTCACATATACTAGCCTTATAAGTGGACTCTGTCATGAAGGTAGCTTTCCTAGAGCATGGTTTTTATTTGAAGAAATGGTTAAGAATGGAATGGTTCCTGATATGATTGTATATACATCTCTAATATCAGGTTATTGTAAGCATAAGAATATGATGAAGGCAGAGGAAGTCTTTAGAACAATGCAGGAAAATGGTTTATCAGGAGATGTTTATTTATACAATTGCCTGATAGATGGATACTGTAATCTATTTCTAATGGATGCTGCTATCCTGAAAATGGATAGAATGATCCAATATGGTCTCGCCCCTGATGTTGTGACTTATACTATTCTCATTAATGGATACCGCAAGATGGGTGATAAAGATAAAGCCCATAAGATGTTTAAGTTAATGTTGAAACAGGGCATATCACCGGATACTCTATGTTATTTATCGTTAGGATTGGATAATTGCCCTGTGGAAACAGGTTGAGTGCTCAAAGGATGATTTTCTTTGTTTCCACTAGTCAATGATTGCATGTTTCTCCATCAATCATTTCCAATAATTCTGGTACATTTGTTTCTACTGCGCTACTACTAAATTATTATTATTATTATTCATTTATGTGAAGTTGCTACTACTAAATTGTTGGAAAGGATGGTTTTATCCATTGATCCACTCACTAGTTCATCTATTTATATTTATTAGATCAATTTAGTGGATATGATATCAATAATTATCTACAAATATTATTAGAAGATAAAGCAATACATGGGTATGATCTTATATGTCAATGGCACAAAATAACACACGCTATGGCATACATACGACACTATTTGCTTGGCATAATGCATGTTTTCAAAATAGCGCACGCCATTAATGGTGTCATGCATGAGCAATGCCACATGGTGCAAGGAGCAACTAGCGTGCGCAATTTTGTTAACATGTTATACATTCAAATTATAAATTATATTTATTTTTTTAGTTGTCATTTTAACTATTTGGTAGGATATTTTACTAAAATCAACTTAATGGTATTTTATATTAATGCATTTTTTGTTTAAAATTATTTTATATTATGCGTCATGTTTATATGGCGCGTGCCATGCTGTGCATTATGTGTCATGGCTCCACAGGGAAAATAGTTTCAACACTCACAAAATGATTGCAAAATAATGGTTTTTAAATTCTATTCTTAAAAGTTGGGTTAAGACAAATGAAGATAGTGATGAGCACATGCTTTTAATGTAAAAAAAAAAAAAGATATTGATGATTTTATTGACTCATATTAATTTTAATTAAAAAAGTTTGGTGCATCTAAGTAAAGCATTTTACATTTATGAAATTATCTTTATTCACATATTATAATAATTTAGATTAAATAAATATGTATTTATATGTTCCCATCAAAATGATCATTTTATATTTATGAATTTCTTGATATAACACTTTTTTATGTTGTTGTTTAATAAAATAAATAACCTCCACTAGAAAAAAAAAACCGTGGAAAGCATATTAAATACCAGAGGATTCTACAGCATTATCAAAAGAAATCAGTGGTTCAGCTATTATTTCTCAATTCTCTCTGAAGTTGGGTGGACCTATTAAAACAAATACTTTAATGAGGTCCTTTATTGGAGATGAACCATGTAGTAACCATGAACATATTTAAATTCTTTCCTCTTAAATTTTTTAACAACAACAACAACAACAACAACACTGACTAACTACATCAAGCTTTATATATTTTAACACTTATATAAAATTTTATAAGATCATAATTCACAAAAATATTAAAAGATTATATTATATTTTCTTAAACAAGGATAATTTGTATATTGGAAAACTCTCTAACAATTTCTTACTTGCCCTAAAATAAATGGTAGTCCTAACTAGAAATAGGTCTCTGTTGCAATATCAAATATAGGCGAAAGGATTCAGAGTTATTTTCTTTTATGTTGTGAATGGTCTTCCTTAGTTATGCTTTTACTCCATTGGCAGTCACTCCTTATATTCATAATACTCATCCTCATCATTAGACATACCCAACTACTTATGATCCGCTTTCATTACACAATGCATAACATAGGGTGTATGAGATTCAATATAGAATAGACGCATAAAATTGAGGCGAAGAGAAACAACAAATCTAGCTCCGTTCATGGCCTATCTCGCTCGCATCGCAGCATGCCGCAGCACTTCTCGCCAAGCTTGCCTCGCTCGCGTCTACCTTGCTTTCGTTATCCTGGGTCGTTCGCTTCTCCTATGCAGAATGGTCTCCAGGTGTCTAGCAGAATGCGTGCACGGCGTATAGCGAGAAGTAGGTCGAATATAAGGAAGCATCGAGCAAGTATTTTACTTAAATGTCCCCAAGAAATGAACCTCTCTGGTTCTCTCTGTTAATTTAAATGGCTAGGGACCAATTGGCTTGATAGTCGATGGACTAAAATATGTCAATGCAAAACTCTGGGATTAAATTGGACATTTATTTATTATCGGAGGACTATTTTGAGCTTTTACTCTTAATAAATACAACCCCCTTGGTGTTATTTTTAGATCTATTTGGAATAAATTTGTTGTTTTTTATATTGTTGTGTGCTGTTTTGATCATCAAGTCTTATCACTAATCTGATGAAATTGTTTAAATTTGGTAGGATTTTGTTTTTCTTGTATCTGGTGGTATAAGATTGGAAACTTTAAATTTGATATAGGTGTTCTATCTTTATGACTTTTATTGTATTCTGCTTTTTATTTATTTATTTAATTTTATTTGTGTGTTCTCGTATTAAGTTTCATTTCAAACTGTTTAAAACATTAAATTCTCTTTCTTGATGTTAAAAAGTGACCTGCTAAAATCCATGCTATGTGTGGTACTTACCTAGTTTGCATTGGAAATCTCATTTCTATTATTGCAGATATGAACTTTTGGGAAATTGGTCCTTGGAGTGGGCTTCAATGAGGTTGTTTGGTGTTTACCTGCATGATTTTTTTTCCTTAAAAATTTTCACTTTTTTTTTTTTGCATTGCAAATTTTGTTGCTGATTTATATTTTGGTTGAGATGGTTTTATATTATTAACCTTTTTGCGCAGTTGAATTTCATTCATAGTTTTTCTTTTTTATTATTGACCAACTTTTAGCCTGTTTCCTTTTAAAAAACCAAACATGTCACAATTTTGATGTGAATACTGCTTGTTCTGGCAAACGATCACTTGAAACACACTTGCAAAACAGTTTGTCTATAATAACAATGCACACAACTCACCTTAGCCTGTTAGTTGAGAGCTTATGCTTTCAACTAAGACGTCTTGGGTTTGAGTCTTTGTGTATGCGTTGTGTGCATGAGTTTGCCTTAAATGGCCTAAATGTCCCAAAAAAAAATAATAATAATAACAATGCATAACAAAACATAATCACCATAAGAAGCCTTAGTAGCTGGTGAATGAGAAATCTAGAAGCGGAGAGTTTCTAACATTTATCATGGTAGTGCAATTTCATTTGAAAAAGTGCTATTCCCTGTTATTTTTTTCCCTTTTCCTCAGCTTTTCTGCACAGTGGTATTATTAATGTACTCTAAAGTGTGAACTTGGAAAGTAAGGAGCCTTCTATAATTGGATGTGCTCATGTCCTCATAAAAATCATACCCTACCTAGTGTGGGAAAGTTAGCATTTTGGTTCAAAAAAGCTAAGCTTGATGCACGCACTTAAGACTTTTTTTGGGACGACTTTCTTACTGGTTTTTAAAGCGGCTTTCTAGCATAAAAATTTCTAATTTAAAAACATTTTGTACTGAAAAACTGCTTTAGAAAGTAGCAAGAAAGCCGTCCCACACAGAGCCTAATTCAGGCCATGTTTTCTTTTTTTTTCTTTTGCCCATCTTTTATGTTTGGTTTAGCTTCTTGGACATTGTTTTTTCAACTTTTTCTGAAGAATACTATGCTCATGCGCATGTGTCATCTTCCTTTGTTGTCTCTCTGTGCCTGGGGTATTAACCAATTAGCCTAGTTGTTCCGTTAGCGTTTTCCAAATTTCTTTATTTGGTGTTTTTTTTTTTCCCTTTTTGCTTCTCTGTGTGTCGCAATTACTACTATTTTATGTGCAAATGGGTTGCTCCTAGCTCTTTTTCCTAAATATAGAGTTCTTCAATTTTTGCTGTACTAGTTTTGATATTGTTGTGCTCCATGTGTATTTGAAATCCTAATTTTTCCAGCATTTTTCTATCCATATGGTTTTGATGCTTAATTTTGGCGCTCAGCCTTACATAGAAATGTTTTTTATCTTGTGTATAACTGAAGTCACGCTTCTGTCACTTTTTTCCTTTCATTGGCCTGTAACTTGACATTTTATTTGCCTTGGAAATAGTTTTTTCCTGTTGTTTGAGAGCATTTTGCACTGTTGTGTGCTAGTTGAATGAGGGCAAAGATGAAATAACTCTACTTTCACAACTAGAGCGATCTGCCAACACAAGTAGGTTCTTAGGATACTTAATCAGCCACAAATGATCATTTTTTATTCATTAATTAATAATAATAACAACAGTAATAATCTCTTTATTTATTAGCCATCAATCTTGGTTCATAAAAATAGGATTGCATGGATTAGAATTAAAGATTAAATAAAATATAAGCTTATATTGAGACCCAGTCAAAATTTATCCAAAAGGTCAGACCTAACTTTATCCAAATATAATAGTTAAAATTAATAAAAAAATAAAGTAGAAATAATAAAAAATTTGGCCATAAAATCGGCATCAATAAGCTCGAAGCCATCTTTAATGTTTCAAGTATTTAAGAAAATTGCTATGCACAGTGGCTGTCATCATGCTCATTTTGATGGAAATTTTGAACTTGTTCTGTTTTGTGTTACCTGTTGTTATACCATTACAAAATTACCAATTACGTATATTATATCAAATTCGTTGCCATTACAATAGCCGGGAACTGCCTTTCTCCTTCTTTTTGTTAAGCTATTTCAATGGCGGTCCTCCAGAATTAGATAAACCTTACAGGTGAATTAAAAAGAATAAAACGGCATTGTGATGTTTTGTTTTGTGGTTTAGCTCATTTTGAATGTAAAGATAAATTTATCGCATTGTGATGTTTTGAAAGTTTTTGTAGAGTTTAATATCACTGTTGATTTATGATTACATCCAATCCAATCACTTAACAGAATCAAATAAATTTATTATTTTTTAAAACATGTGATGCAGGACTATAATGCTTTTAAATGTATGCAATAAGAACTTGCACAATTTCTTGATAAAAACAATTATGATTTAAACTATTAGCAATCAAAATGACAAAAAAAAGCGTAAGAGGGGTGGTTACGCTTAGGCCAAATCACATGCCAAACACTTGGATTATCAAAATAACTTAGAATTTCAATAGCATGCAAATTAAGTAGCTTTCAACAAAATCCCTACGCTAACAATGAGATTAGAAACATAGAAAGCTAAACTCAATTCCTACGATTACTAAGCTTGGCACATATAGGTGAACAAGACCTTCATGAATCAAGTCAAACCACAATAGAGAATTGAACTACGAAAATACAATAGGAAGATTGGTAGACCTTTGTCACGGTTTGGACGTAATCCATCATTGAACGGTACAAAGTTGCTCCTCTATGGTTTTGATGAGAGTATCTAGAATGCGTTCCACATATTCCTCGACAGTGTTGTCGATCTCTTGATTGATGTCGAAGAAAGTGGAGTGAAGGATGTTAACGAATCCTTGCTCGTCGTAGGAAATGCCCTAATCAAGATCGGGATCGGCCATGCATCGATCTTGTTGCGTTGAAGTGTTGTAGGAGGTGGTCCTTTGCTGCCCTTGCCGCTTTCTCTTGAAAGAAAGGGGGCTTCTCTCAAGAATCCAAGTGGGGGAAGGTAGGGGAAGGTGGCTGGCAAGGGGGAAGGCTTGGGGGAATTTAGATTCAGGTTTTGAGAGATTTAGGTGAAGGAAATTTTAATATAAACACTTCTTAATTATTCCCTTTGATTGAGAATAATTAAAGAAAGAGAAAGAGGGAGAGGGGTGGCGGGCAAGAGAAGGGAAAGCTTGGGATTTTGGAAAAATGGGATTTTGGAAAGTAATGAGGAGGTGGGGCTTTAGGAAATTTCGGCCAAGGTAAGAGGGAGAGGCGGTTGGAGAAATTTCCAAGAGAGCAATGTGGATTTAGGAGATAAATCCCTTGGGAATCCAATAGGGGGTCTTGCGGCTTTAATGGAGTGGGGTGGGCTTAAGGCAAGTGTTTATGTCTTGCTTAATAGGGAGACTTAAATTAGTTGAGAGAAATTAAATCTCATTCAATTAAAGATTGATTTGGGATGAGATTTAAAGAATTTCCTAAAATAGATTTCATATTTTAGGAAAGATTTTGAATTTTAAATCATTTGGATTTGAATTCAAAATTAATCCTAATTATATGCAATCTATATTAGGAAATAATGGGAAAAAGGAGGGAGAAGCCAAGGGTGGGCCGACGGCTTGTGGTGTGGCCGTGGGGGTGGTGGGGGAGGGGTGGGTCCGGATGGGAGTGGAGTTGGGGTTAGCCGACGGTGAGGGTGAGTTTTGTGGTGGTCAGCGGCTTAAGGGGATGGGGGAAATTCTAGGCCGGCGGCTAGTTGAGGGAAGGGAGAGGGGAGAAGAAGATAGAGAAGAAAGAACCATGAATCCGGCCATCTCCAAAGTTGGTGGGTGTTCCGATTTCTCTCTCATAGGAATTTCTCTCTCAAGCACTCTCATGATCTCACAAAAAACTCAAGCAATGAGAAATTTTTAATCATTCATTCATTAAGCATGAAAAGAGAAACATAAGGGATTGGGTTATAAATAGCCTCGTACAAATGACTCAAAAAGTAAAAAAACAACAATGCCCTCGGGGCTTATACATGACATCCATTTAATAAAGGGTAAAACTGAAAAATAACAAAAGCAAATACAAATATAAAATAATAAAAGACAAATACATAATATGACTCAAAAATACATCGACTCGATCATGGCCGTAGATCGACGGCCAAATATCTGATAGACTTTCCACACTCTAATGTCACCATCAACATGCTTTCTAACCTTGAGCAACAAAATAAGTAGCATTTCATACTGCTTCATATTAGTCTTGTATACGTTATAATGCTATTTAATTACTTGCAGAAGCACTCTTTCATTGTGGCTTGATGAACTTTTACCTCTGTTTAAAATTGCGCAACAAGAGGCGCGCCTCGCACCTCTGCGCAATTTTGTCCAAAAACGCCCCGAGGCGGACGCAATTCGGGGACTTGTCGAGGCGTACGCCTCACATTGGCTGAGGCGCGCCTCAGTTGTGCGATTGTGCAATTTTGAGGGAGGCGTACGCCTCAGCCAAAAGGCCCCACCCACTTAAAATGACCCCTTCTTTTCCCCCCACAACAATCAAGTAAAGGTATTCCACAACTTCTTATATGCTATTACATTACATTTATGTCAAGTGAGCAATGAACATGAATACATGATAATGATCTTTTCTCTTAATGAACAGGGAAGAGAAAAGTGAGTCATGTTGAAGATGATGATGACATGGCATTCATAGATACAATTGGAGAAGAAGATTCACTTGAAGACCCATTTAGTGATGGGATATGATTTCATTTTATATGTTTTTTGTATTCTGGGAGTTTTGTTAAACTAATATTTTGTGATTTTGTACTTTGGAACATGATTTTATTGCATCTACTTTCTTATTTTTCACTATTTTCATATATAATTTAGATGTTTTTATTGTAAGGTACAATATTGCTATTATTTTCCTGCTAAAACCCTTAATTTTTCATTTACGCAATTCTGTGTTCGTGAGGCTTACGCCTCAGACCGCCTCGAGGCTTACGCCTCGCCTCACGGACAAAAACCGCCTCGAGGCGTAGTTACGCAATTTTAAACCTTGACTTTTACAGGTGCATATCTTTTCATGCCTTGATTTCAACTCTTCTTTTGTTTGCAGCTTCCATGTTGGCTGATTTCGGCTTCTATTAAGCCTTTCTCAGCAAATACTAATAATCAGGTACCTTGCAGTATCTTTGAAGAGGATTTGATAAGGAATATTGAAAAAACTTTTGATAGGTGCTACTTACTAAGAGAGGAGAGAGATACAGAATGAGTTGATGTCTGTATTTCCTTCCCTTAGTACACAATTATAAGTTTTATTTGATAAATATAAAATATCTAATTAGGAATATAGGATGACAAACAGGGTATATTAATTGCATTTAATTTATGGATGGTGTTTTTTTTTTTTTTTTGTGGTACTTTTTCTAAAGTTATCATTCTTAAAAATATTTTATTTCTGTTTGAAGATGCATTGGGCCTGATCTACTTTGAAGAATTAAGGATAAAGGGAGTAAGAGGAGGTTTAGCTTCTTCCTTCAAATTTCTTAGAACATCCAAAATGTTGATGAGAGCTACATCTTGAAAGGATAAATTGATTCATGATAAGGCTCTTGTGTCTATTTATCTTCATCCTTTTCATGGAGCTCGGAATCAAAATTACCAGCAAGGTCTCAATTTCTTATCTCCCGTGATTGGCAAATTCAATGAAAGGTATCATCATTTCTGTTCATCTGAGCAATTATGTTTCTAATTATTACTCTGTTGTTGACTACATCAACCTTAATTCCAACCAATATTTACCAAAGTGGGTGCTATAAACATATAAACACATTGTTTTACTTGGATTTGTATGGTTTTAGCTTCTTTGAGAATTTTTATTCTTTTGGTTGTATCAGTTTTTAAGTTAGCTTCCTATGATATGGTCCTCTGTATCTCTGCAACTTTTATTCCTGTTGAATATAAGCATGAACACACTTTATCCATCAATCTAACCAAAGAAAAAAAGAACAAAATAACTTCGTTTATACAAGTTTTAAAACAGAACAGAACAAAACAGGTGAAAAATAAAAGGAAAAAAAATTACAGGTGTAGAACATTGATTTTTCTCTTCTTATAAGGGTTGGAACTCTAGTGGTTTACAAATCCATAAAATTCCAATTCTAGGTTTCAACAAATTCTTAGATCTTTAACTAAAGAAGACAACTAACTGTACCCCGATTAAAGATAAATTCACACATACATTACATATATAAGACTCGAATTCAAGACTTCCTGAAACTCCGAACCAACATGCCAATGTGTGCTGTGTTTGTACTCTTTCATTACTACACAGCAGCCAAGCATCAGATAACAATCCAACCATGTGGTCCTATAGCTTCATCGTCCATAAATCAAATAAGCTAATCAAAATCATTGGAAAATCACCAATCAAAGAAAGTAGGAAACAGCTTCAGCTTTTAGCTCTTGGATCTGGACAAAACTCTATTCCCCATTTCCTTCTCACATCCTCCAGATTCTCATGGAAATGCTTCTCATAATACACACAAATCAGATCTGTGCACTTCAATCCAGCACGGCTCGCCCAGGGTAAGTAATGCCCGAAGAAGAGAGATCTTTGCTTCTCATTAAACCTTGCTGTTCCCCCAATCACTGACAGCATACACATAGGAAGAAGCATCTGCTCAAATTCTACCACCTTGAGAGCAGACTCGCCGATCAAGTTCGTCGGGAGGCCAAATAGCACGTGCCAAAAATCATGGACTTCGCGAGCACGTGTGGCTATATATGCCAACTCATCTGTGTTCATAAACCTAACCGGTGGCCGGTCATCAGGTGAGAAGTTTCTTGATCCCATGAACCTAGCATATGCTGCTCCAAATGTGTTTTCTGGCAAATCCCATGCATGAGAAACTTTTGAAGATATTACCCTTGGACGCTCAGTAAGAATTTCCTGTGACACAGCAGAGATTATAGACAACCTTGAGACCACCATTCCTGGGTTACCAAGTTCCAACAAAAAATCTTAATCCCATTCAACACATAAACCCAACCATTTTATGATGCCTAAGGGCATCTCCAACCGAAAATTCCATTTTCCCCTCCAAAATGCAATTAAAAAAAAACAGAAGGTAACCATCTTTCTTTTTTTTTGCGCGTTTCTTTAGCAAATCAGGTAGATACAGAAAAATAACGCATGTGAACGGTGCAACGTCAATATTGACGTCAAACTGTTCACCCGCAACCAAATACCGAAAGTTTTGCCGTTCGGCTAGAGCTGGCGAGCGACGCCATTCATGTGCTTGGAATTCGGTTGGAGAAAGGCCTACCACTTAATAAATATTGTCTCCTTAAATTAGCAACTTTCAAGCAAACCGAGGCAACCAAAGCAAATGTGACTAGTTGAACATGATGAATTAGATTATTGTAATTCTTTCCAATCAATGGAGATTGTTAAATGCAGAATAAGCAAAATCTCATAAGAACATAACAGTGTTTTGCAATTAGACCAAAAAACTCTCTCAAAACCATAGCCAAAAACTTGCAAGAAATAAAGTTTGCTAAATACTGATCACAAAAACTTACCCTGCCTTCAGGATTATTCTTCATCCGGGTAAGGACCCTCTGGAAAGCGGGCATGCCAGTAGTTTCACCTAGCGCAGCAATTAGATCTGCTCTTCTGGGATCCATTAGAGCACCGAGAGCTGAGCCAATAGCAACTGCTGCTCTTTGCCACCCTTTCAAGTGAATATGAGCTCCTTCCATAACTATTTTGGATTTTGAAAACCAGATAAAAGTAACTAATCAACCATTAAAAGAACTTTGTAAGCCGTAAGGAAGTCATCTACAATAACAACAATAACATCAAGCCTTTGTCTCACTACGCGGGGTCAGCTAGATGAATCCTTTTTCTCCATTGTGTCCTATTAAAAGTCCAATTCTCGTTTGAATCTAATAAGGAAATATCATTTATAATATTCTCTAACCAAGTCTTTTTAGGTCTACCTTTACCTTTTTTTAATATAAGTCAAATTTAATACCTCTATTTTCCTAACCGGGTCATCGGAAGGCCGTCGTTTTATGTGACCAAACCATCTATAAGGTAACTCTCTCTAATCTTATCTTCAACTGGAGCTACTCCAACATTTTCACAAATATGTTCATTTTGTATCTTATGTTTAAGAGTAAAGCCACTCATCCACTTGAACATCCTCGTCTTTGTAACACTTAACTTAGTATTATATTTCTCTTTTAATGGCCAACATTCGGCACCATAAGGGAAAACATTTAATGAATTTATCGAAATAAATGACAAACATTTGAACTGAGAGAACTCACAAATGTTAAGGGTGCATTACCCCACTAGCTCAAGCTTGCATCACTACCTTGTTCGATTATGTGACTCAGCCTACCCCTCAACCCCTCTCTATTTAATTAGTTATGAGCAAAATTTTTACAAAAAATAAAAATGCAATAAAGAGCTATATTGAGATGAATTGACTCAGGGCAAATAAGTAACATCAAGCAATATACATGCTAATCAAATAATTAACCAACCAAAAAACAGAGAAGAGTTCTAAAAAGTATCAAGGAATCAACACTAAATTAAAACTCCATAAACTCCATTACAAACAGCTAAAATGTACGATTTTATTTTCCATGCATAAAATAAAATGGACGAGGGCGAAGATAAAACTACTTTTTATCTTCAAGCAATCTAAGGAGACCCGATTACATTCTTTGTGATTAATTCTACACAACTAACAAGTCAACAACATGGATTCAGAAATTGTTGGCATATGCTAAAATCCGGGTTTCTTACATATAGATATGCCGATGTACAATTTCTTTCTTATAAATTAGCTGAAATAGCAAGTCGCTTACACTGATTCTACAGTTCTAGACACCCGCCTACGGATTCAAACAGCAAAAATGACAATTTTGCATCCTAAGGGCTGTTTGGCAACAGGATTTATGCAGGATTTGAGCAGGATTTATGCAATCTCATGGCGGAATAAATCCTCCGTTTCTCTCTTTTTGCCGTAAATTCCGGATTTACTAAATCCTCTGGTTCGGCGGATTTACGGGATTTGGCCGAAGAAGCGCGCGAAAGGGAGAAGAATTACCTTCACAGCCAGCGAGCTCCCGTCGTTTCTTCCGATCAAAATGAGGTAACTTCCGATCCGAAAGGAAGGGAAAATCGTCGAAGGGGAGAAGTCGAACAGCAACGAAGGAGGCGAAGAAGCGACTCGTGCAATCTCTACACCTGCGAAGCAACGTAGCCGAACAGCGAGGCCGAAAAGAGAAGAAGATGAAAGGCAAACCTAGACGCCTATTGATTAACCTAATTAATATAATTTAAAATATTAATAATTAAGTAATTTAATTAAATAATTCATAGTTTAATTAGTTCATAAATTAATTATCATTAAATTAGTTTAATTAATATTTGTAATTTATTAGTTATTATAGCTATTATTAGTATAATTGTGATTATATTAATTTAATTTTTAACTAATTAATTAAATCATTAGTGTGAGTATTAATAAAATCATTTATATTTTAAAAAATAATTAACTAATCAATATTAATTTGTCATGTACTCTTTAATTAAATTAACGTCAATTATAGTTATTAATTAATTAAAATATTAATAAAAACAAAAACATACCATTTTTATTTAATTTGTTTAAATAAAAATTCCTATGTTTAATTTGATTAATAAATTATTAATTAGCCATTTATTTAAGTATTAACTCGTGCTAAATGTAATTCAATTAGATTAATTTAAAAAATATATAACTTTTCTTAACTAAAATAACTATCATTTAATCAAAGAAATTAAATATGAATATATTAATTAAATTAATATTAATTATTATTATCAGTTAATTAAGTTTATATCAAAACTATTTTTATTTAATTATTTAATTAAATTGTTATTTGATTACCTCAATAAACTAACAATTAATAATTACTTGAGACATTTAATTACGTTAGTCAAACTAAAATTAATATAGACAAATTAAATACAATAAAATATCATAATCACATAAATTTTAAATTTCTTAAATAAATTATCGAATCATTTATATAAACACTTTGTTTAACATTTATCATAATAAATATATTTCAGATTTTAAATCTATAAAATTCATTAAATAGAAATTTACACAATTTATTAAACCTATTAGCAGCCAAACAGCCTAAAAATATTAAATAAAAATTATCCAAAACTTTTTTTTTTAATTACGAGTTTATTATCGGTATTATATACAATCATATCAGTGTATTAATTTTTTTCTCTTCATCTCTTTCAATTTATTTGTGACAAAAAATTCAAAATATTGAATTACAAATTGAATTGCATCTGCATAATATTTTAAAATAAAATTCATATCAAACTTCCTCAGACCATAAAATTTCCATTCAGCTCTAATTTGAATCGATAATATGACCCAATTCTAATAGCTCAAATGCAGGAAAAAAAGTAAAAAAAAAAGTTCCAATATTAGCAAATAATTGAACTCTAACAACCAAAATGAGCAATATCAAATCAAGGCTTATAACTATCATTTGCTTTTCCAATTGCTTCATCTATTTTAGGCTTCATTTGAAGAGAAATTATTATGTGCAGTCACCGAATAATTTAGAGGCGAATGAGAATGCGCCACGTCACCCAGTATTGAGCGATAAATAGTAGCAGTACATAGCTAAAAAATGACGTAACACGTTCTCATTCGTTTCCGAACATCATTGCATGAACGCATAGAATAATTTTTCTCCTTTGAGAAGTCCCGCTTCTTACTAAAAAGTGCTTTAAGAAGCAATTAAAAAGTTATCCCAAACAAAAAAGCTAAGTTGGCATTCATTTGACAAAATTTCCATAGCAAAAAACATATATAACAAATATTTGTACCAAGAGCTCTAAAGTTGACACTCGATGTATATATGACATATGTGGATCAAATCTAATAAATATTATGTTAATACAACACTTATAGCCGAGCATTAAGCAGATCAAAATTTCAAAGATAGTAAATACCTGCAAATCATGCATACAACTACATGCTCTTTTGGCCATCGTTGCATCTTTCTGTATTGCATGAAACTGAAGATATTTATGGCAAAAGATTGCAGCAACGAGAAAGGTATTTCCTCATTCGATCTGTACAGTCTTTCAAAGATCCTCGCAACTGACTGCGTGAGTTTTCTCTTTGAAAGGCCTCGTAATTTCTCTTTCCTTCCTTGAGTTCTATCTCTTTCCATTGGGGTAAAACGTAAAAGCCTTGAAACATTGCATTTACAGGAGGAAGATCACAAAATTTACAAACAGTTGGAAATAGGTTTGAACCTGATTAAACAGAGACTGGGATTTCTGTCAACTGTTACTCTGTATCAATGTTAATGGCTGCGTGCCATCATCAACTTGAGGATTTCGTAGCTTCTGAAGAGATCGGTATTGAAGTCGAACACTCTCGCCGCTGTCGAGAATCTTGAGGAGATACCTTCAATGAATTTTAGTTTGAATTGTAATGTTATTATTGAATTGAATACTATATTGATATAAGAGTAAATATGAAAGAGAATAGAGTAATAAAAAATATATAAGAATAAAAAAATATTTGCAATAATGAGTATATATTATAATAATAAATATCACAAATTTCACCTAGAATTATTGAATGCATGTGATAATATTGATATTACATTATAATACTTCTAATAACTCTTGCAAGGATAATGATAGAGCACAATCACCCCCCAAGCAGTAAACTACTGTTTTCAGAGCCAAACAGGATTTCACTAACACAAAAGAAAAATCAGTACACGATACAAGTTTCATCAATTCAAGAGGAAGAAACAAGTCTCCAAATCTCTAGTTAAGAGACTAGAGCCCAAGCACACCAAGGAGAGCCCAAATTCATATTCAAATTCAAGATGAAACCCTAACCCTCAAGAGAAACTATTTAAAGCCAAAAGGACAATTACAAAATCCCTAAATAGTCCCTAATTCAAATATTTCCCTCCAAAGCAATATTTAATTAAGATGTGGGCCCCATAGGACCAGCCAACCCTCTCTCTCTCCCTTCCCTGATTCCACCCAGCTCCCTGGGCCGATGCCTGTAGCAATAAACCGGTCCACTAAGGACCAGTACACTAAGGACAGGTTTAATGGATTCAGCCGGCCCCTCTTGGGCCGGACTACATATAACTGATCAAATTTTGATCAAGATGAGTCTCCATGCCACTAGATTTATTTTGAGATGAATTCAATATAAATTTTGATTGTTTATCTATATATATTATATTCTTCTTGAAGTAAATTCACAATGGCTTTAATCATCCTGACTAAACTTAGTCGAGATATTTTTACCCAAATTTTTTCCTATTTTTTGCAACTTGTGGTTATTAGCAGTTATATACTCCTATATTGCAAGTTTGAATAAAACCAAATGATAAGAAATAAAAGTTTAGAGTTTGGACCAATGAAAGCTTACCACCCATTTAAGCACAGCGAAGTAATAATGGCTTCCCTTCCAACGAACTTATCAGGGGTTCTCCTGTTGCCCTGCATGAGTAATTATTGTCAGTATGCTTTTCCTTTTTGCCACTCTCAAAATTATTGTATAATGTCAAAAATTTTCAAAGAGAAGCTCATAATTAATCTTTTATTTTGCTTAACCTTAATCAGAACTTTCTCGTTAACTGCAAATGGAAACTGAACGCCTTTTAAATGCTTGGCAGTATGGCCATCAACATTCATTTCACCATTTTCCTGATTAAAAGAAGAAAAAGGAAAAAAGGTTAAATGACAGATCAATAGCATCATTAAAACTATATGGGTTAACATGCACAGACCTTTCCTGGTTTCTTTGGTGGGTCCATTTGTTCACCCCCTTCTTTCCTACGTTTTCTGAGATGAGTATTATGAAATAGTCTTCTTTCATCTTCACTCCTCACTGCTGCTGCTGCTGCTCTGAGAGCTGTCAATGGTATATTATTTTTAAAAATTATTTATAAACTGAGGAAGAGGGGAAGCTCAAAAAATAAAATAAAGGGACAAATACCAAGATTAGGGATCAAGGAGCCTGAATCAATCTCTGCATTGCAAAGAGTGCATCTCGCCTGAATATGACCAAAAAAAAGAACAAATTTATGTTCAATATGTTTTTTATGCAGAAGACATTAAGCAATAGAATGTTTATTTTTTTCCATCATAACAAAACAATTTATTTGGGAAATATATATTAGGTAGGTGATCTAATGAGCCAGGCAGAATCTTCGCTCAACAGTAACTGAAACCATTAGAAAAAAAGAAGTAAATCTATGCCATCAGTAAGATAAAGATTATAAATCCACCACCGAAAACAGAGACCCTCTTTCCAAACTGCCTAAGCGCCTCTTCATGCAAAATACAAATTTAGTAGCACTGTAGCATGTCAATTAGTTCACAAATATTACCACCATGCACTTGCAAGGACTATCAAAATTCTCATTCCGAAAAAAAAAAATTACAAACATTACCACCAATTAAAATTTTCAATCACAACAAATGGAACTTTTATTTGGTCCGGTGAACGTACGCAACTCTACGTTCGGCCGCCAGTAGAATCGCGCCACGCGTTTTCATTATTTACCGCGCGCCCCGACAACCCGACCCGGAACGGACCCAAGATTGCTCGGTATTGCTAGGTATTGGTCGATTTTGCTCGGCAATAACCAATACCGAGCAATACCGAGCAAATACCTAGCAATAACGAGCAAATACCGAGTTGTACCGAGTTTTTCTACAACTCGGTATTTGCTCGGGATTGCTAGGGATTTGCTCGGTATTGCTAGGTATTTGCTCGGTATTGCTAGAAAAAACTCGGTACAACTCGGTATTTGCTCGGGATTGCTAGGGATTTGCTCGGTATTGCTAGGTATTTGCTCGGTATTGCTAGAAAAAACTCGGTACAACTCGGTATTTGCATGGTATTGGCCTTCACAGAGCGGTATTTCTCGTTTTTGCAAAGCAATACCGAGCAAATACCGAGCAATACTGAGAAAATCGCGAACATAGCATTCCCGGGTTCCGGTCCGGGTCAAGTCAACGGGCCGCACGGTAAAGAGTAAGAGTACGTGGCGACATGTTATTGGTGGCCGAACGTAGCTCTACGTCTGGTCAGAGGACGTAATAATTGTTCCAACATATAAGACCTTTCGTAAAATCCAAATTCCAAAAGAAATTTACCTAACATATCATACACTTGCAAGGCCTTCCGAATTTTCACTTAAAGTGACAGATTATTCAAACTAAATAGTAGAAATTTTCTGGGTTATAATATCTATTGTAGTTATAATTTCAAAGCATTATGGAAAAAAGTATCTATCGTCAGGCAACTAGTTTTAAGTGAAAATCAAAGAATTTGCACGTACCATTTCCATGACTTTCTTCAGCATGTGGCCACCAAATGAATGTCCACAAGAAACAACTACTGCATCTTCAAGGAACGCCCCACTACAAGAACAGAATGACATGAAACAAATCTATAAGAATAATAAGTGCCATAGTAGCAGAATGTCTTATAATGGCAAGAAAAATTCCACCAAAGTGATGAGGACATCGAAAATCAACGGCTACGATCGTGTCTATTTATTTTGATGTATTTGATTTGTTATTTGTACTTTTCCCTTTCTACCCTCACTTGAGGGCTTTGTCTTATGTTTGCCCTAGGGGCAATTGTGTCTTTTTATTTCTTTCATGTATTTGACTATTTAAGCCTTCCCCTTCCTCTTGGAAAGGAGGATGATTATTGTTAATGAAGATTTTGGTTTTGGATCTCTTTGTGAGTTCTCAAGTGAGGAAAGCCTAGGAGAGGCTCAAAGCAATACCCAACAGCCCGTTAGTGGAGCTCTTGATTTTCTACCCCATATCTTTTCTTCTTCTCGCCATTTTTTTCCCTTCCGATCTTCCCCTTTTCTTCCCTCACCCGCCGACCTTAGTTCATTCCCCAAGCCATCGGCCACAATTCCGTCTCCGTATTCCCACATCCTTTTCATTCACTAGCTTCCCCACTTCACATCCCACCTCCACCTAAATCACCAAAACCCGACGGCAAACAATCAACCCATCCATCCCCTTCATCATGCCGCCGCCTCCACCAAGCTCCCTTCTTTTTGTTGTTATGATGATCCCAATCATCATGCTACTTTCCAAATGTAGTTGGGCTTGAGAGGGAAAATTGGATTCAATTTGAAATTCAAAATTTGAATTTCAAAACTTTCCAATTTTGGAAATTCCTAATTAGGAAAGTTCTTAAATCCTCATTATAACGAAATTCAAATTCAAATGGACTTCATCATAAGCTTTCCTAACTCCCATGTGCTGATTTGGAAACCCCTCAATGGCTCCCACACTCTTCCCCTCTCTCCACATGCCGCCGGCCTCACCTTGGTTGGAGCCCCATTCAATTCCCAATTAATGCATTGATTACAACCTAATTTGAAATCAAATTTCAAATTGATTTCCCCCCAAAACTTCTCAAATTCTGAATTTAATTTCAGGATTAGTAATAAATCCCTCTTCCCACTCCCTTTGGCCGGCCACCTTAACCCCCTCCCCCCTCTATTAATTAGATCCCATAAATCTAGGATCTAATTAATCCAATTCCCCCCTTCTTCCTCCACCGGTCACTCTTCCAAACCCTTTCCGTAACTGCTGACTGCTGGAGTTATGTTGCTGTCCAGAGAATCCTAAAAGCTGTTACAGATTTTCTTGCATTTCCACCTGCTGTCCACTGTTTGGGAAAGTTCCAGATTGCTGTCCTCTGTCCAAGAGTGCCCAAATCAACAACAAAGCTATCCCGGGAGACCACGTGGCTGCTGTCCTGAATATTTCCGACGAGACAAACTGCTCTCCTGCTCTCCAGGAACCCCTATTTGCTGTCCGGAAAAGTCACAGCTGCTGTTTCAAGATTCCAGCAGTTTTCTAGTGCTGATTCGCCATCCGGAAGGCTCTCATTGGTTGCCCAGAAGATCCCACACTGCTGTCCACACGCAGGACTTCGTTAAATTCAACCACCGGACTCCGGATCTTCTCCCTCGCCCCTCAAATTAATCTAAGAATTTTGACGATGGTGAACTCTTCCCCAAGTTTCCTATTCTCCTAGTTTATGTTCAATTGAGGCTAAATTTTGACTCACAAAGATCATGTCAAGCTCTTCACCACTACGCTTAGAGAACAAGAGAGTTGCGTGAGGGACTCATGCATAGTGCCTAATCTCGTTGTTAATTTAGGGATTTTCGTTGAACCATTCATGTATGCAATGTTAGATTAATTGAATGTTTTACGGTCTTAATTCATATGCATGTGATTTAGCCAAAGCTCGTTTTACCGCTCTTAATGTTTTATCTCGTCGTTCCAAATCATTATAAAGATATAATTATTTGTTCTCTCTAAAATTAAGCGTGCAAATTCATCAAGTATATCATCTCGGCATGATTGTTTTACATCACAAAGTTTTCATTTTTGCAGGATGCAAGTAACAATAAAAGAATCATATTTTATCAAGGAATATAAGAACGAACACAAATAATCAAGTTCCTTATGTCCATGTGCCATGTACCCGGTAAGGGAATGCTAAAATCTGCAATTTTTTAATTCCAAATCATGCAGAATTCGACATGAAGTCAATGGATAGAGATGTAAGAAAACCAGCAAGACCAAAATTTCAAGATTAAAAAAAGGCTAAAACATGAAATTGTATGCAACAAAGCCATCTGACATTCTGACCTGCAACAAATTACCTGAATCCAAGAAGCAAATGATCATTTTTGTTTTAAATTAGGACAGGAGAATCAGTTTACTGTTGCAATGGAACCATGGACCTCAAAACTTTGTTTTTTTTTTTTCATACCCACAGAATTAATAAAACGCATAAAGGCATATAGTAGCATTTTGCACACCGTGAACTGAATGAAATGCCTTTAAATGCGTCTCCAAACCAATTTGGACTCGACTCCAAAACTATGGAGAATCATCTAATCTCTGCAATCCAACCCATCTTATTATTTTCATCGTACTAGTATCTCAAATTTTTTACTGCTTAAAAAAAAAAAAGTTATTTGTTTCACTATTTCTACAATTAACAGTTTTCAACTAATTTAAATTTTTGTATGAATACATAGAACATGCCTTGTCAAATAACAAGCATCCCTCAGTTCAAGTTTTAAGACGACTTTCAAAACAAGGTTCCAACAGAATAACTACTGTAGATTCCTTTAAACTAAGTTCATAAAATTGGGTTTTTTTACCAACAAATACAAAGCCTGATCACAATACCTAAGTTCAAGCCTGGACTCATCGTTTCATCATTAGCTATGATGCATGGACAAGGATACTAATACTTAGAAATAACACAATGTGGACACAAGAAAAAACAATGCTGAAAAAATATTGGACATACATGAATTGATAAGATATATGAAATATATAAAAATAATATTATTAGAAATAAAACCCACTTCATAAATCAAATAGAAATTAAAAAAAAAAATTCACATAGCGTCGTGGGAAGAGTCCAATAAATATTTGATGCCCCAAGAAGTCTAGGCGTCCAAAGAGTGAGAATTTTTCAAAAAAAAAAAAAACAAAAAAAGAAAGAGAGAAAAAGTGAGACATTAAATGGCATGTTCGACATGGTGTCCTAGAGCGCAAATGGCCAACATATTTAGCATAACTTATCAACCCTCTAGAAGTATTTGTGCTTCAAGGATCACGGTGGTGCTATTATAAACCATTATTCACGTACTAGTATTACTGTTATCAAAACATCATAAAAAAAGTTTGAATCGAGCTCGAATTGAGTTTGAACAAGCTTTGGATAAACGAGCTCAAACTCGAGCACCCTCCAACTCGAATCCGCTCCATTCATTTGCAATCCTACTAACAATTATTCCAGGTCAAAGAAATTTACCCTCAATAACATATTACATGTTTCTCGTCTTGTTCTAAATCTTTTATCGATCTATAAAATCACTAAAGATCACAGCTGCAATGTAACTTTTTCACTAATCATTGTGTATTTCAAGACCTCACTATGAGAAAAAATAATTGGGCAAGCTAACAAGAATGATAGACTATATATTATTGAAAATAAAAATCACTTGTTGTGCTCCTTCATTTCCACTCACAATATTGAAATCATTTGGAAGCATCATTATAGTTATAGGCTATGATATCCCTTCTTAAAAACTCTACAATGTACGATTCTTCCATTTTTAATGAAAAATTCCATTGTGAGACTTGTGAAATTGCAAGACATCATTATGTTATTTTTATGTTAGTTCATTCTCATATTTAGGAACCATTCAAAATCCCTGACATTTTTGGAGCAACTAGATTTATCATTTTCATTGATTATTGCACTCAAATGATATAGGTATATCACTTCCATGATAAAGAAACAATTCAATACCGACATCAAAATATTTTAGATAAATAATATGCATGATTACTTCAATTACACAATATCATCTTTCTTCAATAAAAAGTGTATCATTCACCAATCCTATCATGATAATCCCCAACAAAATGGGTGCCACAAAAAAATTTATCACCTTATGGATGTCATCAAGACTCCTCTTTTTCAAAACCGATTACCAAATAGATAATGGGGAAAAGCTATCCTAATTGCAACTTAACTAATCAATAGAATACCCTAAAAAATGATTGGTTTTAAAAGTTTTTTAAACTCTCTAGCAAATTTTTTTCTCATAAGTAATTTTCTTTAAAAAATTCCTTCAAAAATATTTGGCCGCGTTGCCTATGTCCATATGTATAAACAACAAAGGTGTAAATTAGATGCTAGAACCCTCAAATATATCTTTATTGGGTATTTGACACGGTAGAGGGAAATTCAGCCCCACTTGTGGGGCCCAATAAACCTATCATTACATATGTGAGAAGAGGAATTAAAAGGGATAAATTAGGAGATTTTTCTAATTAAAAAGGACTGATTTGAAGGAGATTAATTAAGAGATATTTCCTAATTAAAAAGGGCGGATTTGGGGGCTGAATTGGAGGAGATTAATTATGAGATATTTCCTAATAAAAGATGGCTGATTTAGGGGTTGATTTGAGAGGAAATTGGGGGAGGGATGCTTTGGAATTTGTTGTTTTATTTTTTGCTATAAGTAGTAGGATTTATGTTATGTTTGTATGGAGAATTTGATTTGAGAGTGTTGTAGTCTTCTTTTTGTAAGGAATCCAAATGGCATCTAGGGTTTGGGAGAGAAGGTCCTCTTCTCAAAAGAGGATCATTGTATCTTGCTTTATTCTTATTTGATTTTCTATCAATAAAAAATTATTTTTGTGTTGAATCTCTTGGAGTAATTTGCTATTTTTTATACCAAGGCGCATCAAATTGGTATCAGAGCTGTGTCATGGACCAAAATCACAATTCTCTTCACTGATTTCTATTGCGTACTTCCTCCTCATTGCTGATTTTTGCTATTTGAAGACCATAGTTGCCATTTTTTTTTTTTTTTTGCATTTGGAATTTTTTTTTTTTTTTTTTTTGCATTTGGAACTTAGATGCGTGAATGGCAGCAAAGGAGATTGATCTGTTGGAAGGGGATGTAGAGCAAATCAAATCAGGGATGGAGGAAATATTTTTCAACCTGGAAAATAGGATGGAGAGCCAATTGAGAGAGATGGAAGAGAAGATAAAGAAGCTCATAGAGATGCAATCCAAAGCTCCACTGACAGTTTTGATTGCTAACCCTCTACACTTTGATCGAGGTTCCCTTGGCCGAATCAAAGAGAAAGGAGATCGAACAGGAGGAGTTCAACGAGGCAAGTTTCTTCCATCAAGAACCACCTCTCAGGGCTCCGAGAAGGAGTGGATAAGTGTTTTCGGATATTACCAGGCCCTGAACAAGGAAATTGTGTTGGACAAGTTTATTATCCTGTAATCGATGAATTGTTAGATGAGTTGTTTGGAGCAGTCATTTTCTAGAAGATTGACATGAAGTCGGGATACCACAGATCAGAATGAAGACGAGATGTACACAAGACATCTTTCAAGACTCATGAGATCACTACGAGTTTTTTGTGATGCCTTTCAGCCTTACCAATGCCCCAGCCACTTTTCAGTCTCTCATGAAACGGATTTTTCAGCCCTACCACAGAAAGTTTATCTTAATATTTTTTATGACATTCTAATATATAGTCATACGGAGGTAGAGCATATGGGTCATCTGAAGACAGTACTATAGACGTTGAAGGAGAAACCAGTTATATGCCAACCTAAAGAAATATTTGTTTGCACAACCACAGGTGGAGTACCTAGGACACGTGTCATGTGGTGAGCAAATAAGGGATAGTAGCAGACCAAAAAATGAATTATTTTTTGAAGAAATGATGGCTTCTCTTTCTTAATGTGTATTACTAATGTTTTCTAGCAAAAGTAAGTTATGAAATGATTTTGTAATAGTATTATAGTACATTATAAAAAAAATTATGTTACTTTGATATTTAAAAATCATAAAATATTTTGTAAAAGTGGATACAATTTTAATTTAGAACTGTTAGTTAGTTATCATTTGTTATCATATACATTTTAAAAAATTTTGACATTTAAGCCATGTCCTTTAATCTAAATATATATAAGGGTATAAAAATAATTTGTTCGCATTAGTTGCAGCATAGCATATTCACAGTAATATTATCCAAATAAAATATAATGATTTTTATACAACAACTTCGACAGCCGTCCCAAATGCACCCTTAATGTTATAACTTACATAGCTTAGCTATTTAACCTACATCAAGTACAACTTATGTCGTCTCATTTGTAGGATTAAGATAATTAATTATTTGCAGGCATATTCTAATATTCTTAACTGTAATAAATTATATTGAAGCAATACTTGGACACTCTTGGTATTAAATTATGGACATTTGCATGTCATATCTCCTACACTTAAACAATTAGGCTGCATATTTGATTTGTGATTTAATTTTTTTATTTGTATTTCTATTATTACTATTAGTAGGAGAGGTAGGGCTTACACCCATAGAAAATCTCGACCCTAGACCAAAATAAATTTTGGTTTTTAAGATAAATCTGATTAATCATCATATTGAGGAGGCTTAAAGGAGGGGTGACTTTTTCCAAGAAATCAAATTAAAACTTTGATTTTACTGCAATTAACTCTATTTTAAAGTGCTAATACAAAACAAATGTTATTAAAAGTACTTAATAATTAAAAAAAATAACACTTACGATAAGGGATCTGAAAGGACACTTCTAAATGAAGGCTCAGTTGTAAGACTGTTTTGAACTTCCTGTAAACCAAAATATTCAGGATTATAAATGGCTAATGGGAAATACTTAAAATCAAAACAAAAACAAATTACTTTATAATTCAAAATAGAAAGACTTCTCACTAAGATATCAAAAAAAATAAAAGAAAAATGAATGGCCAATCTGAAAGTTGCATAACATAATGTCAAAATCACAGTTCAATTAACCAAAAACAATCTAACACTCGTGATATCCTGAGTAACTTTGATTATTTGGTCATAATGTTTAATGAGCATGGAATTGTATAAAATGCAACCTTAATGAGCCGCCGTAAATTGTGAAGGCAACAAAATTGAGAATTTTGTAGTCGCAAAGAACCGATTAAAATATTAGTTAACATTAGTTAAGACTGCATTTGCACAAAGTGCATGCCAATTTTGATCATAAATTTGATAAGAAAATAAGGATAGTTATTTTAATTAAAAGATACTTAGACCAATAACTCAGAGAAATAGATGTGATGAGGAAGAGGAGCTTGAAGACTAACCTTCATGTGAATGTCCACCGTAAGTAGATGAGGTAAAATGGAGCAAGCCGGGCAGGCACGTCTAGAGGAGACCTAGCATAGTTTTCGCAAGAACAGGGCAAAGGCAGGCCGCTAGGTAGGTTTTGTTGACACCAAAAGACAATGATTTCGACACCAAAAAAACTAAGAATTTTATCCTAAAGCTAAATGGCAAGTTCCTTTTCTCACAATAAGTTTCCTAAATCCAATTTAGGACAAAAGAAAAAACATCCTAGGGTTTTTATAAGTAGAAGAAGAAGATGATGATGAGAAGGATGTCATATAAATGCATGTATGTATATATATATAGGAAAATTTTGAAGAATTTGGAAGTTTAACAAAATTAATTTAGAGAAATAATATTGTTTCAAATTTCCAAATTTAAATGGAAATATTTTGATTGAAATTAGAAATTAATTTAGTATAATTATGAATCTGATTTCAGAAATATTTAATCATTTATATTATATAGCTAATTATGAAATTTTAATTTCAAAGGAAAGGAAAATTTAGGTAATATTTTGAAGAAATATAACAGCTAAGATAGTAAGATTTTATGGTTTCCTAAATTTTAAATTTAATGGAAATTTTTAATGACTTAGAAATTTTGGATATATTTGTACGTATGTTATGAAAATAATTTTAGAAACTAAACGCAGATGAAGAAGAAAATGAAGCAGATATGAGACTATCAAATATTAGTTGGAAAAATGATCAATCTATCTCACATTTGTCCATACATCGCATTTATAGTGAGTCTCATAAGTCAACTCCTGCACAAACCTAAGGAATCTCACTGCTAAGCTATTTCTAGATCTTCAGTTATCATAAATCAAGTCCTGTTTAAAGGACTCACTATAAAAAGTAGAATGTTTTACAAATTGAAAGATATACTAATGATTATGCATGATCACAAATAAAAAAGGAACCACGATTGAATACTGATACTGTTGGGAGAAAATCCCATAACATGGAGAAGCAATAAATAACTTGTTGTTTCAAGATCTAATGCTAAATCTAAATTTAGAACAATTGTTCAAGAAATTTGTGATCTTTTGTGGATCAAAATTATTTTAAAAGTTTTAAAAATCAAATGGAAAGATATAGTGAAGATATAATATGATAATAAATCAACAATCAGCGTTGCTCATAATTCAGTACAATATGACCATAACAAGCATGTGGAGGTGGATAGACGTTTTATAAAAGAGAAATTGTAAAGTGATTTCCTCTGCACTCCATATGTGCCAATAAAAAATCAACTAGCAAACATTCTCATCAAACGACTCGGCAACCCAATATTCAAAAATATTGTAAGCAAACTTAGAATGGTAGATTTATATTATTCAATTTGAGGAATATTGAAGGATCGTAGGACCCACAAGTCAATCAATCTTAGTAGGAATCTTTGTGCACATATATTTAGAGTTCTAATTGTTGGATCGATCCCCTTCTAGCTCTTAGATTGCAATCCATGTGCTTCATTTTTCTATTCTAGCCATCAACCCATCTTGGAGACTTTCCCCCCTTTTTTTTTAATAATTGTAATTTATTTCCATAGTACTTAGAGAAGTCTATAAATACTTCTACATTTTGTACATAATTTTGATTTATTTCCATAGTACTTGGAGAAGTCTATAAATACTTCTACATTTTGTACAAAATCAAGTAATAAAATTCAAACTAATTTTTTCGACTTTTCTAAATTAAGAGGGGAAATATTTTCATGCAGTCATGTTCTCAGCATTGCTGCCGCTTTTTGAATGCTTAAGAATATCAAAATAAACATGTGTCTACTAAGGCCTAAAGGCATACCAACTATAGTCTTTCTCGTCTTTTCTACCCAAACAGTTTCAACGTGGGTGGTCACTCAATTAAATCCACAAGCCAAGTGGAACATACTTCTGATTAAGTTGCAATCAACTCAAATAGCTTTCATTTTTATTTCTTTACAAAGAAAAAAAAAGTCTAATAATTGCTGCAGCCTACCATCACAGTCCCTGCCTCAGCAATAGTTTCTGTAAATGCCACAACTATGACCTTCGTTCAATCTTTAACTTAAATTAAGACGCTGCCATTTATGATTTGATAATATACTGGTATTTGGGTCAAATTTGAAGTATCAAAATGTCTTCATTTGACTGTGACATAAATTCAAACAGATATTATGCAACTAATCTTCTCACTCTTTTAGTAAGCCGAGTTTTTTAAATGAGAAAAATTACAGATATTTATTCAAAAAACTAGAATTGAAGTTTCACTGAAGAAAAGTGATCCATTTTTTCATTTTGCCAGATCTTTATTTATACTAAAGTAGCGTACAACTGTACATTGAACACGGTGGTGGCACATGACATAATATCTGAACCACACATGGCCTGACATAATGTTGAAATTAAATTCAAACATATTTAAAAGCTAGTTATCACTTCATGACATTGCCTTTAAACTTAGATATGATAGTTGCTGTAAATTAAAAGAATGAAAAAATATAATCATTGCGTTGTTTTTTTTTGTCCCGATTCCTACACAAACTTCTAAATTTACTTACGCATGCACTATCAGGAGGGTTGCACATGATATCTTCTTCTGCAGACAAGTCATCCATGAACTGGCTTACAGAAATGGGTTGGTAACCTTGTGGAATCACATGGCCAGCTGCTGCAATTCGAGAACAGTCCAAGATAGCATTGGCTTGTGGCATTAGTCTAAATGTCAATGATGCCCTAAAATAACAAAGGAAACCTTCATCAGATGCCAAAATAAATATTATGGAAACATATTATGAATGAAGAGTTCTGACAAAGCAGGACTTAGAAGAATCCAAACCTTCCACAAGAGTTGTAGTCGGAAGCAACCCTATAAGAAGCTGCAATGCGAAGGCCAGCAGTAGCATGACTTAGTGTCTTTCCAGTAAGTAGCAACAAGTCTGCAGGAGTAGAACCTTTATCTGCTAGGTACCAATGGCCATTTGGGTCACAAACCTATCAACATAAATAAATCATTCGAACAATTAAAAAAAGTAAAATAATCATAAAAATAGCATAATTTTAGCAGTAGCCATCATACAAAAGAATTGGGTAAACCTACAACAACAACCAGTTACATATATGTATACACTTTTGATAAGATACCAAAAATTACAGGTCTAACTCAAATGGAAAAAATAAACTAAAGAAAAAAAAAAAAAAGATACCAAGAGTTAGAAGATGGGGCTTCATACCTGGATGCCTGGATGGTCGGAAGCAATAATTGTTAACAATCCTTTTTCGACTTCACTAACTGAAGATTTCCCTCCTAGAGACCCCTTACCATTCTGTAAAGAGGCATGAGAATAGGTTGCTACCAAAACTGATGATGAGACCTCATTCAAAGGCAATGGTGTATCATCAAGCAAATGGTTGAAAACACTGCCGGCACTTAACAGTTAAGAAACAAATAATAAAAGCAAAACGAATGCAAATGATTGAATTAACTACAGTAAGTAACAGTAGTATTACTCGCTTCGCAGACGAAGATTTTTGGCTATTGAAGAAAGTGATGACCGAGCCGCCCTGCTCAAACACCTAAAAGCATCACTCATGCAAGGAGGTGATAGGTCTCCATCTTCCAAGGTTCTAGCATGCATTATGACCAAAATATAAAATATCAACGTACTATCAGCCTCACAAACTACTAATAAGGATAAAATGAACAAAATGGAAATGAAAATTAGCCAACAAGTCGAATTCAGGTTAAATAGACATAACTAGAAACAATAGAGTTTCTAAATATTATTTTAGATGGTTCATATTTAGAATGCTAGTTTACAAAATTCTCTTAATGAAATGCCCTAAGTCAAGGCTCTGATCTAAATGGATTAATACCTGAGATACAAATTATGAGTATTAGAATCAGGAGGGAAATGAAAAAGTTTTCATAACCAAGGATATTCAAGAGACCGATAAAATAAAATAGCTGTGTATACTTCTTTCAAAAATCTGCTATAAAAAACACAACTAGTTGAACAAAGTTTTAAACTATATTAGTTATTTTAATTCGACATACAAAAACTAGGCTAAAGCTGCAGAAATGAAAATAAGTAATGTTTCACTCCCAAAAAAATAATCCAAACTGCTAGGGATTTATTGAGACTTTAGTTTGATCTTTTAGTTTGTTTAGCACCACCTGCAATAATTTTGCTGCAAAAATGACATTTGTTATATATGTAGCCTTTCTTTGCCTTTTCTACATCAAAATTAACTTAAGTCTCACACTTCCAAGCAATATCTTTTCTCTTAACACCATCATTCACCATTATAGTAGAAGTCTTACACCTGTGATTAAACATTAAATAAAAAAAAGCAATATGATTCTAGTTTATCCATAATATATATAAAAGATAAGGATTTAAAAAAACAAATAGAGCTGCTGAAGTCCAAAAATATAACTAGTTCTACAAACTTAAAAGAAGAAAGGAAATTGAAAAGAGAAAAAAAAAATAGTAGCTCAAACCTAAAAGTGAAAAAAATATATTTCTTAAGAAAAAGAAACTAAAAAGAAATAAAGTTCAAAAAAAATAGCAGCCTTAAAATAAAGCTAACTCTAGAAGAAGAAAGGAAATGGAAGAAAAACTAGAAAAAAATAGAAGAACTAATGGAGTACGGTACTGACATCAATAAAGCTTGAGTTTGTGGCTGGCATCAGAATCTTGAGCTTGCAGCTGGCATCAAAAGCTTGAACTTGTGGCTAGTTGCAGAAGCATAAACTCGCGAGTCTAGTCGGTTGTAGAAACTCTCACGAAGAAGAGGAGAGTATATTTTTTTAGGTTTTATTTTGGTTTTTGTAGTTTTTTTAACTGAAATCTAATTGTTTTAAAGCTCAAAAGCCCACAAACTAAAAATTTCTATTAAATGCCTAATTAAAATATTTTGAAATGCCCATAATAGAGTCAAATAAACTCTCATATATAATTGAAAACAACGCCTCAGTGGGTTTCAAAACACTAAGATTTACCATGCTTTGATCAATTGAGTCATGAGTTTAATTGAGGCATGAGTTTTGAAAGATCCAGAAAAATTGTAGATTTTGTTTTTTTTTTTCCTAGAGCCTCATAATGAAAAGGATTCTGAATCATAGGTTTTGAAAGTTTTTAAAATAGAAGTGAATGTCAAGTATGAAATTAAAATGTAGAAACCTATTCTGCAACTAGATAACCATCATTGAGACCTTGTAACCTTCATCTTTGTCAAAATTCTACAAAATAAAGAGAGAAACCCGAAGTTCTTCCATTTGCAACTACCAATTAGCCATAGTTGTTTTTCGAGTAAGGGGCAAAATTAACTAATTGTTTCAAATCGTGAATTTTCATAACATGAATGACATCTCCTTCAGAACAAGTAAAAATAAAAGTCTCTTAGATGAATCAACACAACTTCCCATATCTATTCCTAAAAAAACCTGTTTCCCTCGTGGCTTGCAATTGATGGCCATGACACTACTCATAACAAAATTAACTCATTTTCTCTCGCCCGATACTGCATACTGAAAACAAACAACTCAAACGACAAGTAATACAATAGTTATACAAAATATAAGGAAATAGTATGAGTACCTTGAACTGAAAAGATAGAATTATTAAAAAAAAGGTTTTATTAAAATGATTTTAGAATAATCGAAGAAAAAAGATCTAATTCAATTGATATCAAAAGATCTATGAATTTATTACAAGCGAAGGAGATAGACGAGTAGAAAAAATAGAATTTTCAATATCAAATGTGTTCACGGATTGGGTTCACACAATAAAACGTGCAGAATTGATGAAGTTGGAACAACTTCCCTACAAAATATTACCTCCCAGCGCGGTAAGTGTAGAACCCCCGGCCCGACTTCCCCCAATTCCCACCTCCCCAACCGCTCCCACATTGTGCACGAGCCTTGAAAAACATCCGTACCGACTCCAGAGCGCATCGCATCACCACTTCTTCTTCATTCCCCAGCTCGATCACCACCGCGTTGTGCCTTGTCAGTGACCGTGACAAGGCGTCCACAGCCCTAAGATAAGTGCTGCTCGGAGCCCCTTCGTATGGCAGGATATCAATCAGCCGCACTCTCCCCACCGCCACAATCGGTTCAGGGTGGTGATCAGGCGGCGGGCACGATGTCAATGGCTGTGTGGGAGGAAGAAGGAAGTTAAAAGAGAGGGAAGAAGGAAGGTGGGGTTGTGCTAGAACTGACTGTGGCGATCGGACGCCGGCGACGGAGACGGCTGCAGCTGGAGAGGATGAGGAAGAGGGGGGAGGGGTGGAAATGGCCATTTGGTTTGACATCTGCTTCTGAGAAAGTTCACATATCATCGTGCGGCCCCTCGGAGGTTCGGAAACCGATGAAAGTAGGGGATCTGATGGAGCTTCGGTCGGGTAAATCCATTTCCTGTCTCGGCATCTCGCGGAGTGGAAGAACAGCTGGGGAGTAGGGTTCTTCGGATCCTCCGCGCAATGTTTTCTTCTGTGTTTTTTTAATGGGTATTAAAATGAGTCTATTTAATGTTTGAAATATTGGATTTTGTAAAATAAGTTGAGATGTTTAATTTCTTATGTTTAACGAATGCGTATTTAAAATTTTGTTGGATGGTTTTAAAATATATAAAAAAATTGAATTAAATTGTCGCTTTCAAATTTTAAAATATTGAATTTATTTTGTTCAATCAAATAGATGTCTAAATTTTTAAAATTATTGCATTTAAAATGCATGATTCCAATATTTTTTTGGTTTTTTTTTTTCATTTAATGTGCTTTTGATTATTAGCGTTTCAAAATAAGATTTATTAAAAATAAACTTGTAAAGTAAAATCTCATGGAGATGTTTCATTTGTTGAAAAATAATTCAAAGTACAAGAAATGTAATATAGAAAAAAAATTAAATATTTGATTTGTTGAAAAAGAATTCACTGTAAAAATTTATTAAGTTCATTTTTATAAATTTTAAACTCATCTAATTTTAACTTTTTTTTTTCTCTGCAAGCCAACTAACTACATTGTCATCTCCCATCATCGTGGCCGAATTTCCACAAACCACCATTATCGATCGCCACCCACCGTTGTTCGCTGCCACTAACCATTACATGTCGCCATCGGTCACCACCATTATTTTGCTTTATATTGCTTTCATTTTACTTAAAATCAAATAAGAAAAAATCTACTTTATTCCATTTACACTCATCCGAATAATTTTAAATAATTCAAATACTATCTATTCATTTTATATTGTATTTCTTTTATTTTGTATTCATTTATATAACAACTAGGGGTGTCAATTTCGGGTCACCGGTCGGGTTCGAGTCGAACTCATAATTGACCCGGATTCAAACGGGTAAACCCTAACCTGACCCGGGTATGTAAACGGGTCGAAAATGCTGACCCAAACCAAACCCGTCGGGTTGCTGGGTTAACCCGACCCGACACCATTCGGCGAAACTAGCGGATGCGAGCATGAGCGGGTGCACGAGCGCGAGGACTAGTGCGGGTGAGCGTGGGTTTGACCTAAAAATTCAAAAGAATAGTATATTCTAATCAATTTTCTCAAAATCCAAAAGAAAGGGGCAATAGAAAAATAGATAATGATGAGATTCAAGAAGAAATTTACATATTGTAACGTCTCTATACATGTTAGTGCCCTTGGTGATATGATTATCCATCATTTTTAAGCCACTTGAATAAGTGATCAAGATGGGACATTTTTTTTGGAGGAATTAGTTAATAAAAATGCTTATTTCGGAGGAATTAGTTAATAAAAATGCTTATACATATTTAGTTTTTTATTAAAAGAAGTGATCTAAAGTTTTTTTTTTGTTGAAAGTTGAAAGGTTTGGAGGGCTATGAATTTAGGGGTGTCAATTTTTGACACGACCCAAAACACGATCCGAGTCCGACCCGGAAAAATTCGGGTTCGGGTCAACCCGAACCCGAAACGAGTCGGGTCCGGGTTCAACAAATCAACCCGTTTTAAAAATCAGTTCGAGTTCGGGTTGACCCAGCAACCCAAAATTGACCCAAAAGTGACACGGAAACTCATATTTGACCCGAAAACCAGAGATTGACCCGTTTTTGACCCGAAAATCGAAGATTGATCCGATTTTTGACCCGAAAACTAGCAATTTTGGGTCAACCCCGTGTCATTCGTGTCGGGTCGGGTTGGCCTGGACCCGAATCGGTTCGGGTTCGGGTCCATAAACCTAACCCGTTTAGGTTCGGGTTGACCCGAATAGTGTCGGGTCAGTTCCGAGTTCGACCCGTTGACCCAAATTGACACCCCTAGCTATGATAAAAAGAATGTCAATATTTTTCTTTTTTGGGCTAATTTGAGTGTATTTACTATGTCACTTTAGGAAATGAGGTTTGAGTGTGACAAATGGCTCGAAATAAATGTGGAGGATTAGATTAGAATTTCACTTATGATATGGAGTAAATGATAGAGTTTTGTGAGATTAAAAACATAGCAATATGGAGAATAAGATTATATATAAGGGATCTTTAACTAAGCTGAAAGCTTTGAAGAAAGTTTGGTTGACTTTTTAAAAGATAATTTAAGAATAGTAATAATAAAAATAAAAATATAACTAGTCAATCCCTCCAATTATCATTTCTCATAACATAATACTATTTATAGAGTTATAATGACTATCATAGTTCAAAAATAAGAGAAAAATTTTTGGGGTGAAAGGTAATAGGTGGCCATTAATCAAGAAAGGTGCCAATCATGTTCATTAATTTATCTTATATCTATTAAATGACCAACACATATATTTTCCTTATTAAAATATAAATTTTCTAGATGATAAATTTAAAATTTAAATATTAAAATTTTTAATTTAATTATTAATTCATGAGTGGTTTCTTATATTGGGCCGATTAGACTCTTACTTTAGCACCATCTTAGTCTTTTGTTTAAACTCATATAGTTAAACATATAATTGTTTTATTAAATCAAATTGATGTGCTTCGTCAATAAGCCAATCAATAACATGAAGAGTATATTAGAAAGTTTAAGAACATTGCCAACAACTAAGGACAATCATCTTATCATTATAGAAGCCACAAGCATTAAATCACACAACTAAGGAAGACATGTTGAACAAATCTTCCCTACTAAGGGATGTTTGGTTGGAATACTGTAGGATGTAAAGTATTCTAAGTGTAGGAGATTTAATATTATTAGTGCTTGGTTAGATGAAAAAGGAATTCAAAGTAAAGTAAAATAAATGTAGTGTAAATTATTCTAGTTCATTTTTTAGATAAAGCAAACTCGTCTAGTTTTGAGTGAGAAAGCTTTACACTGCAAATAAGCTTGCTTGACAGCCATCGACTATCGACGGCCACCGTTGGTGTAACGCCCCATAATCAAATATGGAAAAAATTATATATATATATATATATATATATATATATATATATATATGTTAAGTTATAGTCAATATCAATCATAACTTAATGTGAGCAATAAAAATATCAAAAATCAATAATAAAATCAATATAATAAGTAAAATAAAAAAGATCTATCAAACTATAAGAAAAATTAATAAACATGACTAACACCTAGTAAGTCATGTTAGTATGATATGTTATGTTGTATAAATATTAATGCTAGTATGATTTCAATATTATCTATCAACCAGTTTAATATATTATCATGTAATATAATCATGAATATGGTTACAAAAAACATGGCATGACATTTAGCTTTAATATGATATTTTTATCCTTAACATATGTTATTTGTCATAGCTATGAATCTCTCAATCTTATATTATATTTCATTTATTATTATTAATCATTTATTTTTGCATGTGACTTTCTATAAACAAATGACTAAATTTTTTTGATAAGAAATAGATATTTAAAATATAATTTATAGAATGTGATGGTCATAACAAAGATTTTAAAAAAAATATTTGTGTTATTTGTTGTACACAAGAGAGAACTCGGAAGAATTGGTATTCTTCTTCGTTATAATGCAAGAACCGCGTAAATTCACTTGACCGTTGAAATTTAAATTGAATTGCTGCAAGCAAAATCCAGTTCAAGCTAATCTTTCATTCAATATCTCCTCCATGAATTCATTATCCATCTGATAAACTGCTGCTCTTCATGGAGCAACCACACTCCAATGCTCGCGAAGCTCCCCACTCTAATTTCCCGCGCCCTGCTGGAGCTTAGATCACCCACAACCCTTAGCTTTCTGAAGCAAATCCATGCTGTTCTCATCACCGCTAGCTTCTGCTGCGATGCCAAAGTCCTCGGCAGAATCCTCCGTTCCGCCGCCCTTTCTCTTCCCGGCGACATCAACTACGCCTCTCTTCTCTTTCATCGAATCGAATGCCCAGACATCTCGCTTTGGAATAACATGATCCAAGGGTACTCCTTGCGCTGCCAGTACGATGCAGCCGTCTCTCAATTCATTGAAATGCTCCAAAATGGTTTGACTCCCAACGAACACACTTTCCCTGTTCTTCTTAAATCCCTCTCGAACTCTGGTTCTGCAAATCCAATACAGATCCACGCCCAGATTTTCAAACTCGGGCTGGAAGCTGATTCTTTTGTGCAGAATTCCCTTCTATGGTGCTATGTGAAAGGTTGCTTCTTAGATTCAGCTCGCAAGCTGTTTGATGAAATGCCACAGAGGGACGCCATCTCTTGGAATGCTATGGTTCAAGTGCATGTAAAGAATCATTTCCCGGAGCTAGGTCTGGATTACTTCATCGAGATGAGATCTTCATGTGCTGTAATTGATGAGATGATAATTGTTAGTGTACTTAATGGCAGCTCAATGGATGGTAATATTTGGCTTGGGAGAAGCATTCAAGCCTTTTATGTAGAATCTGGGAGGGTGAAAAGAGACGTTTTTGTTGGCTCTGCACTTGTAGACATGTATATGAAGTGCGGCTGCTGCTTTGATGCAAGAAAAGCATTTGATGAAATGCCGTTTAGAAATGTGGTTTCTTGGACCTCTTTGATTTCTGGCTATGTCCAGTGCAACAGATTCAAGGAAGCTTTGTCTATCTTCCGCAGCATGCTTGTCGATGGACCTAATCCAAATCAACTTACTCTCTCAAGCATTTTCATTGCCTGTGCTCATCTGGGAGCACTGGAACAGGGAAGATGGGTTCATAGCTACGTGGATAGAATTGGCATGGAATTGAACTCTGTTGTCGGAAGTGCATTGATCGATATGTACGCAAAGTGTGGACAAATCGATGACGCTTTCTCCGTATTTCATAGATTGCCAAACAAAGATGTATACTCTTGGACTGCCTTGATTAATGGATTGGCATTGCATGGACTTGGCATAGAGTGTCTTCATCTCTTCTCTCAAATGCTGCAGCAAGGAGTTAAGCCCAACGATATTACTTTCTTAGGTGTTCTTGGTGCTTGTTGTCATGGTGGACTTGTACATGAAGGTAAAATATACTTTGATAGAATGCTAAAAGTGTATGGAATAAAGCCAAAGTTAGAGCATTATGGTTGTATGGTGGATCTTTTAGGTAGAGCTGGGCATTTGGAAGAGGCACTTTGTTTCATAGAAAGCATGCCCAAGGAGCCAAGTATTAGTATTTGGGGAGCTTTGTTTGGTGCCTGTATGATTCATAGAGATTTTGTTTTGGGTGAGAAGGTGGGGAAGCATATAGTTGCAATGAAACCAGAGCAGAGCAGTGGATACTTGCTTTTGGCAAGCTTGTATTCTGTGTCGAAGAGGTGGAAGGAAGCTGCGAGGATGAGGATGGCGATGAGGGTGAGGAAGGTGGAGAAAGTTGCAGGATGCAGTTGGCTGGAGCTGAATGGTGTATTGCATGAGTTTCTTGCCTCTGATGGATCTCATGCTCAAGCAGAGGGCATATATGAAACTTTACTTGGAATAACCTTGCTGATGAATTTGGAAGAGTATGGTTCAGGAGATGATACTTTGTGCTTGTTGGGATGGGAAATGGGATGGCAAAGTGACTATCTTGTTCCTTGAGAGCTTGATTCATAAACACGTGGAAGTGTTTACTGAAGTAGTTGATTTGTGGAAACTATAATTGAGTGGACATTTAGAGGAATTCATCTATGTATGATTTATATTCAAGATTTGTTAAATAAAGATTGGGAAGGAAAGTTTGATTTTGTTGATTACTTGATTAGTTAGTCATACTTGTTGCCTCTATTTGGTTGTGACTTCATAAACCATGGGAGCATATAAAAAAGGTTCAATAAATGGTCATATATGTTCATTGGTAGTCTTTTATGGGCTATTAATTCGCTTTCATGAAATTATTCTACATGCTACTCTTCACAAGTTTCTTGAGAAAGTTTAGTGTATTGTTATATATGGTGAATTGCATGATATTTTTTTCCTAAGAGGAATAATATATTTTTTAAGAAAAGATTATGTTGTTGGCTAGAAAATTCGTGATGATAGAATGAGTTTGGCGTCCCAGTTCTGTATGAGAATCCAACATTCAAATTTATAAATAAAAGAGCACAAAGGTACTAGAGTTTTTTTATGAAAATTGAAAAAAGGGAAAAGTAAAGTGAGTTGATTCTTCTGCGTGAGTGTTGATTACAAAAGTTTGCCCATCCCCTTAATTTGGAGACACCAATTTTACAAAAGCATGTGAAACGGGTAGAAAATATGGCATGCTCAATATGGAGAAAGTCTGAAACATTCCACCGAACAACTCATACTGATCCCTTAATTGTAGAGCATTTATTTAGCCTTTAAGTACTTCAATATTCTTAGAATTAAGCTATCCTCTCTTGGGCTCATTAGATTCATCTTGGTGAGATGCTCGATTTGAGTATTAGCATTGTTGCAGGCTAGAATATACGCGACGATAGAGTTAAAATACTACGTCTTAGCATTGCACGGTTATCTAGCTCACACAGGAAACACAAGATTTTTACGTGGAAAGCCTGGAAAAAGGGAAAAACCATGGGGCTTAACCCAGTTGAAAATGATTCCACTAAAACTTGAGTTGGTTACAATGGGCTGATTCGCCTCCAAGGGCGATCAGATTACAAATAATAACTGTATGACAGAAGTCCGGGTGTCAGGTGATGGTTCGGCAGAATTTTGGGCTTCAGGTGGTGGTTTGGGAGAACTCTAGGCCTTAGATTGTCGTCTGACAGAACTCCGAGCCTTTGGTGGTTGTCTAGCAGAACTCTGGGCCTTTTGTGGTTGTCTGGCAGAATTCCGGGCGTCGGGTGGTCGTCCGGCAGAGCACAGAGCGACAGGTGTTGGTCCGACGAAGGCGAGGGCCTCAAGTGGTGGCCCGACGAAGGTGAGGGCTCAGGTGGTGGTCCGGCAAAGGTGAGGGTCTCAAGTGGTGGTCTGGCGAAGGCGAGGTCCTCAAGTGGTGGTCTGTCGAAGGTGATGGCCTCAGGTGTTGGTCCGGCGAAAGTTAGGGCCTCAAGTGGTGGTCCGGTGAAGGTAAGAGCCTTAGGTGGTGATCCGGTGAAACTCGGCGATGGTACGGCGAAACTCCGGCTATGGTCTGACGAAACTCCGGCAGTAGTCGAGGATGAGCTTCTTCCTTCTCTTCTCTTCTTGCTTGGATCCTCTTTCAAGAGAAATGAGGGGTCTATTTATAAATTTCTGGAGTGGCATGACCCAAAAATAGGTTAGAGATCAGGGGTAAATGGAGAGTGGCTGGATGGACGGCCGATGTTGAATCATTTGGTCATAGATTGTTTGATGGACATTTGAATGTCTTAGTGATGTCGGATTTTGGTGATCTTGGACTCGTTGGATTCGTTTCATTGAGCCGCTCGATTTGAATATAAGCATATTATGTTTGGAAACCGTTTGGCAATCCAAATTGTGGTTCGAACCTTCCAACAGCGCTTCTAACCCTTGATTTGGACTCATTTGGGCTCGGATTGAGTTGATTTTGGTGTCGTTGGGTTCGTATTTCCGAGACGCTCAGTTTGATTGTAAGTTTGCTGAAATCGGAGTTCGGATGGTCCCAATTTAATTTTGGAAGTTTCCAACTTGATTTTGCATTGAGATTCGTGTCCGATCAAGATAATTTTTTGATGTTGTATGAATCTGGAAATCATTTGATCCTCCAATTAATATTCCAAATTTTTTATATATGATTCAAACTCTTAGTCTAATCTTATTTGTAATCTGAATGGATAATTTGTTTATATCCTTGGGTTCTCGAGCCAATCAATTTTACTATCATTTTTGTTGAAAGTAGAATTTGGATGATCTTGAATTTAATTCTAGAAATTTCCAATTCAAATGTGCATCAAGTTTTGTGCCTAACCAAGTTGATTTTTGATGATTTATCAATAATTCTCAAAGTTAAAATCATTAAAGTTCAATATTCGTTAGCATCCACAGCTCCCGCTCTCCATAGAGAGATTGCAGCCTCGAGCAAGAGATCGACGTCGGCAATGGAGAGATCGCCAGCCACTGTCATATATGTGTCATGGAGTCGTGATTGATGCCGTTTTGTAATTGAATAAAGGCAGCGTAAGCAGGGATGTTATTAAATGAGAAGACAATATTAATGGCTAAGATATGCGCTTGAGAATAAATGTAAAAGTTTCATGTTTGCGACGGCTTTCTAACTATTTTTAAAACAATTTTTTATAGATAATTTTTTATTTCAATAAATTTTTTTTAATCAACATAAGTGGAAAATAACAAAGAGGTGGAATTAATGAGAAAATTAAGGCTTGTTCGGGACGGCTTTCTTACTGCTTCTTGAAGCAGCTATGTAGTACAAATTTTTAAAATTTTGTACTAGAAAGTTGTTTCAAGAAGCAGTAAAAAAGCCATCCCAAACTAAGCATTATGCTTCGTTTGGGACGGTTTTTTTATTGCTTTCTAAAACGGGGTTTTAGTACAAATTTTTTTTATTCTTGTGCTAAAACTTTGTTTTAAAAAGCAATAAAAAAGCCGTCCCAAACGAAACATTAATCTCCGATTCTGCTTTATAATAAGTAGCTTTTTTCAAAATAAGAATTTAATTTCAACCTTATGATTAATAGTCTATTTGAGATTGCTGTAGGTTTTTTCAAATATGATTATAAACCTTTGAAAGCTCCTTCAAAAATTAGCTTCTTGGCATAAATTTTTTTAAAGAATAATCAGAAAGTAGTAATCAAATAAAACTTTAGGGTTTATTTGAAATAAAGCAGAATCTCCGAGGCCACTTATGTTTCCATCTTTAGTTTTCATAGCATTATAGAATGAAATATTTTTATTTAAAATATAATTACAAATAAAAATAATTTGATCACCTAAATACATACATGCATTGATTTTTTTTTTTTAGAAAATAATTTTACAAAATAAATTAGCATTATTCTCATTCATCTCAATACGTCTCACTTCAGCAACATCATTACTATCATCCAACATCGTGCCGCACCTCTCCTTTTCTTTCCTCGCCATCACCATCATTTGACTTGTCAGATATAGGGGTGTCAATTTGAGTCGACAGGTGGGGTTCGGGTCCAATCCACGTTAACCCAGGTGTAAACGGGTTGATGCGGATCCGACACGTTTAACTAGACGATCAGGATATACAACCCGAACCTGACTTGTGCGGGTTACCGGGTTGACCCGACCAGACCTGCGAACCCGAATCGTTGAGTCGTGCCGCGTTACCGCATAGGCTTGGGCTGGGCGAACGCATCCGCATGTGAGGCAAACTGGCGGCGTCTTGCGGACTGGCGGAGCCGGCAATGCGGAAACACCGCAACAGGGTTGGAGGAGGCCGGATGCGATCATGCGCGATGCATGGCGCCGAATGTCGATGCGAGTCCGACATGTGAGATGCGCCGATGTGGTCAGGTCCGAGTCGGATTTTGAGTCATGTCAATTTTTGACACCCTTGGTCGCACATATTTGAATCATTTGCATCATCAAAACACAAAATAAAATAGTAGAACGTATAATAATCTTTTGAATATTCAACTAGATAGATAAAACTCAATACATCAACTTCTCAACATGCATGCTTAAATCCAAAAAGACCAAACTCAACTCCCATAAAAAGTTCTTCACATTAATCAATCACAAATATATCAATATAAAAGTTTCAATGATTTCAATAAAAAAACAAATCAATATATCTCTAATCAACTCTTTCTGGACCAGCTACCTCGCTGGCCGAAGATTCAGAATTAGTTAATAATCATCATCAAGTGAGTAGGCCTTGAGCAGCTCGGCGCAGACGGGGAGGGCTTCGTCCTTGAGAAAGCCCAAAGAGTTGGCATATCGCAAGTTGTTGGCTTGGCCGCTATTTTCGGTGAGCAGAATGCGCGCTTGCTCTCTGTTCTCGACGAACTCAGCGCAATCAGCTCGCGGGCTCTTAAGAAGCTTCACGTAGCAAATCTCCTCCTCGTGGTCGTTGGGGACGCTGATGGTGTAATAGCCGCCGGCGCTGCTCACCGCCTCAATGCTGTGCTCCACCGCGTCGCTCTGAAAGTGCTTGCATTCTAGCGCCACCGTCGCGCCTGCATGTGGGCTATGCGGTTAGCTGAACAATTTCTCTTGGGAGGAGCTTCAAAGGTATTATTTTATGAGATTGAGCGAGCTCATGAGTGGCTTTTTATTATTGTGATTTTGATTAAAATTGAAATCCTATTATTTTCATTAAGTTTTTGTTTGGGACGGCTTTGTTGCTGCTTCTTACAACAGTTTTTTAGTACAAATATTTAATTTTTGTATTAATAAACTATTTTAAAAAGCAACAAAAAAGCCGGCCCAAACGAAACCTAAATCTCTCGTAACACTAATTTATTTTAATATTAGGTGCTGCTGATATAATTTTTTGTTTCATTCTCCCGTTTAACGGTTGAATGGATGTCCTACAATAGACTAATTCAGAGTTTGTTTGAGATAATTTTTTTGTTGTTTCTAAAATCAATTTTATAGCAAAAAACTTCTATTTTTAATTAAAAAATTGTTTTAGAAAGCATTAAGAAAATTATCTCAAACAAAGTCTTAATTCGATTGGATTATCCTTTGGGCTGAACCAAAAATTTTTTTCCAAATCAATTCATATTCATATTTGTCATTTGTGTGTGTTGGGAAAGTAATATCTTGGGGTGAGATTATAGATAAATCGAGATATGTTGAGTGATATTTGTAAAATTTTTTGTGAGAAATTTTTTTAAAAAGTTATTATGATAAATCTTTTTTTTATTTGATAATAATTTTCTCAAATCTATCATGACTATTTATCCTAAACAAAACAAAAACTTTATTAAAAAAATTATTAAAAAGAAATATTTCATAATATTTTGATATAAATCATATAAAAATCTTATTTAAATATTATTAAATTTATCTTTTGAAATTAATATAATATATATAATAGTAATTTCAAAATTAATACAATTATATTAAAGTCTATTTTAATTTTTAATATAATTTATATTGACGATCGATCCGGCCTCATGCAATTTCTGATATAAATTTTCCTAAAGACCTCCTTATTCTACATATATTTCATTAAATTTTTGATGAGAGAAAGAAACCTTCAATATACTCGGTGATATTGGTGACAAATCCAGCGCGACAGTTATCGCAATACACGCGGCCCTCAACTTGGAAATGGACATCGGTGGCAATGGTGACGCCGGCGAGGAGGCAGAAGGCGGCGACGACAAGAGGGAAAAGTTGGATCTTGGCCATGGCGAATGACTCCTTTTGAATGGTGGAAAGGAAATTATGGTTGAGAGGGGTGAGAGGAGAGAGACCGGCGGTTTTGAAAGATGATGCGGGACTCTGTTTATATAGTGCTGGGCAAGCTTCCATTTTTAGCTATTTGATGCAGTTCATACAGTTTCTAAGGCAGGGAGGGGCTCCAACTTTCCAGTTTTTGAATGGCACCGAGGCCGCGTCGGGCTTCCGGTAACCGGTCTACGTGCGCTGGGCGACCCTCTCAACCTGCTATTTTAACGGATCTGTTTGAAGAAACAAGGCAAATGACACAAAAAAATCAGGATGTGGGGATTATGAGCACAAAAGGGTCGGGTCGAGTCAAGTCGAATCAAATTCGCTCCCGAGTTCGAGCTTTATTCTATGAGGTCGAACCGAATTTTTTATTATAAAAGGAGAAATTATTATTGTTTAAGTAATTAGTATAATAAAATGATAAAAATGAATGAGAAATTTTAAAAAATAATTTAAAATTACTTAATATAAAGATTGAGATATATTTTTTTTTCTTATTTTGTATAACTTTGTAATTAAAATCTTGAATGCTAATATATTTTAAGTACAATTTATATTAATATTTTTTAAACAAATCGGCTCGAGAGCTAACAGTTAAAGCTAGTTCAGACTTGACTCTGCTAGTTCATCAAGTTCCAAGTTCGGCTCATAAGTCATTTATTGAGCCAAGTTAGAGCTGACTTGACTCAATGACACCCCCTAATCGAGACACAAATTACATTAGAATGGATTTGAATTAAAAATAATTAATTAAAAACATCAGTAATCATTAAACTCCAAAGAAAATATATAGTTATAAAATTAAATAAATATGACTGAAGATATTCTTTTTTAATTAATTTATACAAAGATATTACTACAAACCAATATTTCAAAAATATCTTGATCAAATATGTAACAGTGAGATATTTTAAATAAAATTGTTATTGTAAATAATTTTATCCTCAACAAAATATAAATAATATATGCTCTCCCACAACGTGCAAGGCTTTATTGTTTCATACTGAACGTGCAGGACATAACACTCGTAAGCTCCTCTGACAAACTATCTGAAAAGAAGAATAATTCCCTCACCTTATGATCCCTATAAGAACGCCAAAATACTTAGACAAACCAATCTCCACAGCCCATCTGACTCTGCATTGTCTGCCCTCTACCAGCTTAATTTCAAGCCAAAAGGCATGGCGTATCTCCTCTTTCCTCTAGCCTTAGCTTCCTTTCTGTTATTGTCATCCTTGTCTTCTGTAGCTGGTGGTGGGTTTGACTATGGAGATGCTCTCAGCAAGAGCTTGCTCTTCTTCGAGGCTCAAAGGTCTGGCAAGCTTCCGGCAGATCAGAGAGTGAAGTGGCGTGGTGATTCCGGACTCAAAGATGGCTTCCTTCAAGGAGTAAGCTATACACTTCTCTGTTTTCTCTCTTTTAATCGATGTTCTCATTGTCTGTTATTTGATCTTTGATTGTTGAATAGGATGGAAAAGAAAATGTAATGGTGAACATGAAGTTACAAAAGAGAAAGATTGTTAGGAAACGAAATAATAAATAACGATTTGAAAAACATAAACGAATACAAGAGATTTGTTCTGCGGGGCAAAAAAAAAGTGGAATTCCAAACAATTCTTACAACAAAAATATGTTCCGGGGGTGCTGACCCCCAAAAACCCCCGCATGGGCAGTGCGCCTTGACCTCGTGACCTGACCAGGCATATCAAACCCAGCCAGGGGGCAATGTCCCCCTGGACCCCCAACATATCTGCGAAGCATATGACGGTCAAGGACATGAACAAACAATGGTCGAGTCAAATTCGAGGCAACTCCAACAAAGATAAATTAGAGAATAATTATATGTTAGAGGGACAGTTAGCTGCTAAAAGAGATTGTTGTTTGTTAAGAGCTCATATTAATATCAAACATGAGCCAAATTAAAATAAATTGAAATTTGAATGAGCCAAACATGAACACATAATATTCTCTTGAACTCTGTTCATTTACTCTACAAGGAGTAATAGAGTAACATCTACTAAAAAAATTGTTAAAACAAAAACTCAACAGTTTCTAACACAATTGTGTGTTTGATCAGGTGGATTTGGTTGGAGGCTATTATGACTCAGGTGATCATGTGAAATTTGGCCTACCAATAGCTTATTCATTGACAATGCTATCTTGGAGTTTGGTCGAGTTCGAGAAAGAAATAGCAGCTGCTAACCAACTGGAGTATGCTCTTAATGCTATCAAGTGGGGCACTGATTACTTCATCAAGGCTCACAAGCAGCCCAATCTCTTATGGGCTCAGGTAATCTCAAGACTTCCTTTGATTTTTTTTTACTACTTAGACTTCGTTTAGGACGGCTTTTTTAAAGCAGCTTTTAAGTACAAAAATTTTAACTTTTATACTAAAGAATAGTTTTAAGTAGTAAGAAAGCCGTCTCAAACGAAGCCTTAACATGAAAATGTGAATGTTCCAGCCTTTTTATTCTTTTTTGCTGATATAATGAGTGAAATTAACAAGGTTGGAGATGGAAATACTGACCATTACTGCTGGGAGAGGGCAGAGGACATGACAACACCAAGAACTGCTTTTAAGGTTGATACTGAAAATCCAGGCTCAGATGTTGCTGGAGAGACTGCTGCTGCATTGGCTGCAGCTTCCATAGCTTTCAGACCTTACAATTCCTCTTACTCGCAGCTTCTACTGCTTCATGCCAAGCAAGTAAGAAATAGTTATAAAATTTTAGCTTTTTAGATTCAAATAGCGCAATTTCATTCATTTATTTAGTTTACTTAACAGATTTGATTTTGGTGTTGTTGCAGCTATTCACATTTGCTGATACATTTAGGGGAAAATATGATGATTCAATCCCAGTTGTTCGGGAATTCTATCGTTCTTCAGGATACGATGTAAGAGGACTGAAATTTTCTTTTATCTTTTTACTTTTAGACAACAAATAAAATTAGTGTAGTGAAATGAGTACATTATTCAAAAGTATTTGTGCAAATAGGAAGGAAAAAAAGATAAAGCTATTGATAATAAAGACAACGATGATATGAAATCTGCAGGATGAGCTTCTTTGGGCTGCAGCTTGGCTTTTTGAGGCCACAGACGATGAAGAATATCTCAAATATGTGGTGGACAATTCTGGCTCTTTAGGAGGCACTGAATGGGCGGTTAAAGAGTTCTCATGGGACAACAAATATGCAGGCCTGCAAATACTTATGGCAAAGGTTGAAATAGCTTTGATTTTTTTGAGTTTCATAGTTATAGTTTAATTATAGAAGGATAGATTACTCATTCTTAGTGTAAAGTGTTTCAGGTTTTAAAGCAAGGAGGAAGTGAATCGTACACTGCCACATTGAAGCAGTACCAGGCCAAGGCTGAGTTCTTCCTCTGTTCTTCACTTCAGAAGAACAATGGCTATAATGTTGCCATGACACCAGGTTCATTCCATTCTTACAGCTAGGAGCATCAGAAAAACTAGATGTTTGGGAACAGCTCAGGCTTTGTTTGGGATGGGTTTTTTACTGCTTTCTAAAACAAATTTTTAGTACAAAAAATTTTAAGCTAAAAGAATTTGTACTAAAAAAAAGGGCTTTAAAAAACTGTAAAAAAACAGTCCTAAACAAAGCCTCAATCTATGCTCTACGAGAGGGGGTGTCAATAACTGACATGACCCGAATCCGACTTTGAAAATTTTGATTCGGGTCAACCCGTTAAAGAAAAGAGTCGGGTTCGGGTCAACCGTTAACCCAAAGGTGACCCGAACCCGACCAGCATTAAGCCACATTAATACGACTTTATACGATTCGTGACACTCGTTCAATGGCATTTTATGAGTTATGTCGTTTTAGGGATTTTTGAGTTAGGGTTTCTCGCTTCCTCACTTCCTCTTTCACTTGTAGTCGGTAGTCCGTAGTGGTTGCTCGTTGAGTTAAATCATTTGGATTTCCTCAAGCATCAACAGTTAGACTTCCCGCCTTCCCCTACGGCTACGGTCAGTAATCAGTAAATTGTCGTGTTGGCGAGTCGTGTCGGGTTCGGGTTCTGAAAGTAAAATGGGTCGGATTCGGGTCAACCCGTTTAGCCCCAGGTCAATTCAGCCGGCCCTTTAACCCGAATTAACACCCCTACTCTATGATGGTTCAAGATCAGCTCATTAAATGAGCTGTGCTTGAACAAGATAATTCAACTTGTTTTCGAAATGAGCCGAACATTATCAAGAGACAACCTGATAAACTAAAGATTGATATATTTATGCATATATATATACACGTAAATTCTTTTTTAGTAATATATTTTACTATAAAAAATCATCAACGTACTCTAAAATCATCCGCAAAACATTTAACTTTTATGAAGTTTAAAAGATGTTACACTAAGAAAGTCACAAATTAGATCCCAAACTCATTAAATATTCAGCTTGTTTGCACCATTACTTACAGCAATTGCCGCTTATTTTCAGGAGGCCTGCTATACTTTGATGAGTGGAACAACATGCAGTATGTTTCATCTTCAGCTTTTTTAATGGCGGTCTATGCTGACTATCTGTCACCAACCAACTCCAATCTCAACTGCCCTGAAGGACAAGTCACTCCTCATCAAATCCTTCAGTTTGCTCAATCACAGGTATGCCTCAACTCTTCAAAAAACAAACAAACACAAAAAAAAAAAAAACAAAAAAAGGAAATTATTGGGTCGGTCACCGGAGGCCGTCCATTGCCCAATGAAAATGCGCCATATTACATCCTACTCGGTACCGCGGCTCGGTACTACTCGATACTCGATAACGTGGCTGCATCTAATTTGTCTCTGAAAGGTAAGCTATATGCGGTGTTCGAACCCAATAATTTCCCAAAAAAAACCAATGATTTTTGGTGAAAACCCTAAGTTTTCGTAGAAACTCCTGAAATCAGTAAAGATTAGAAAAGTTAATTGGCATCAAATTGGATTAAACCAAAACCACTAAAAGTTCAAATTGGTCACAAAAACACAGGCTGATTACATTCTCGGAAAGAATCCAAAACTGATGAGCTACCTGGTTGGGTACCAAGGGCAGTATCCAATCAATGTGCATCATAGAGGTGCTTCGATTCAGTCAAAATCTGTTCTTCCTGCTATTGTGGGATGCATACAAGGCTTTGAGCAGTGGTATGATAGCAAAAAGGGAAACCCAAATGTTATCTTAGGAGCTCTTGTGGGAGGTCCTGATCATCAAGATCAGTTTGTTGATCAACGGTCCAATTATGAGCAAACTGAACCTGCCATTGCTGGAAATGCCCCTCTTGTTGGCCTATTCGCTAAGCTGCATTCCCTTTCACAAGGTCCAGGTAATTCGCAAGTTATAAGTCTATTAGGAATTTGTCCAAATCCATCTATAGTTTGATCTTTAGTGATTTAATGCTTTATAAAATAGAGCAAATTATTATCCTTGTGCATAGAGATTTTAAATTGTTACACTTTTCACAAGAAGACTGCTGGCTTTACATAACTTTTCATAGATTTTTTAAACAAAGAACCTTCTATTACCCTTGCATTAATAATGATTTCTTCTTATTTTGTTATTAATGATGTAGAGGGATTGATTGCAGGATTTCTTTCAGGAGAGAAAAAAAATCCAACCCCAATCATACCGAAAGGTGAGACATAATTCATATTCATGATCCATATATTTTTATTAATCACTTAACATGAATTAGGGGTGTTAATATTTGACACGACCCGAAAACCCAACTCGAATCCGACCCAAAAATTTTAGGTTAGCGTCAACACGGACTTGAAACGGATCAGGTTCGGGTTCAACAATTCGACCTATTTCAAAAATCGGGTGGTCGGATTCAGGTTAACCCTTTCACCTGAAAGTGACTCGAAATTGATGTGTTTTTGATCTGAAAATCCGTTTTGACCCGGAAACCCAAGATTGACCTATTTTCGACCCGTTTTGACCCGAAAAATGGAGTTTGACCCATTTTAACTCGAAAACTATCAATTTTTTTTCACGGTCCCTGATCATTCGGGTCGTGTCGGGTTGAGCATGACCCGAAGCAGGTCGGGTTTGGGTTCAATAAACCAACCCATTTGCAAAAACGGGCCGCGTTCAGGCTGACCCGAATAGTGTCGGGTCAATTTTAGATCTCGAACCTGACCTATGACCCGAAATTGACACCCCTAACATGAATGACTAACTATTATCAAAATTTTAACAATAAAAGAAATTCAAAATCTGGCCTATTTGTTGAAGAAAGCTAAAAGGTGTAAATTGAATTGTAGGTTATGCTGCCAAAGAGACTAAACCATACCCTCCTACAATAGCAAGAAGCCCTTCCCCAGTTATTGGTAAGTGTGGTTTTGTTTTTTTTTTTTTCAAATGAGATTGTTCTTGGAATCATCAGTGCTTCTAGCGCAATTTTGATTCCTTTTCAACTCCCCACCAAAATATTCTAACAATTTCAGTGAAAATTTTGCAGCCAAGTGAAATCACTAAGGCTAAATGTACTTAACAGTTATAAATCTCAATTCCATTGCAGTAAATCCTGTAGAGTTCTTCCATTCAATCACTAATACATGGTACTCAGACAAAGGAGTTAAGTACTACAGGCACAAGGTGACTATCATAAACAAAAGCGGAAAGCCAATCACCAATCTAAAGCTGGCAATAGAGAACCTATCAGGTCCTCTTTGGGGACTTTCACCAACACAAGAGAAGAATGTATATGTTCTTCCTGAATGGCTCAAGGTTTTGAACCCAAACAAACCATTCATTTTTGTTTATGTTCAAGGAGGACTCCAGGCAAAGATTTCAGTAATCAGCTATAACTAAGCCAAAGGATCAGTGATTTCATGGAAGCAAAAGGGGGATTGTTCTTTTGATGATCATCATGAAATAACTATTTATGTCTAAACTTTGTAAAACATTCTTTTCTTCTCTTATCTTTTATCTAATTTTTCATAATTTTTTTTGCTTTCTAAGAGTATTTATTTCATTTAAAGAACTTTTTGCTAAAGAAGTGAGAATGTTAATGAAATGTTGTTTAAAATAATAAAGTAATTACAAAAACAAACTTCAGTACCAATGTGTTATCTATGAGGAAGTGTGATACATATCCTTTCATCAATTTTGAATTCTTTCATGTAACAAAATTAACAATAAATTAATAATATATGTTATATGTTAGAAAAATTCAAGTCGATAGAGTGCATGTTTTACATCTCAATATTGTACGAAAATATAACATGCACATATAAAAGTAGTAAGACTAGAAAAATTTCTTTACGTAGAAAATCCGGAAAGGAAAAAAACACGACGTTTAGCCCAGTTGAAAAAATTCAATATAGAGCAGGTGATACAAGCATCAACCCATTCTTACAACTAATGAAAAGAATATTATTTGAAAACAAATGTCTAATTTTTCCTGAGGGGAATTACAAAAAATAAGCATCCACAAATGGAAAGTTAATACATAATAGCAGGGCTTAATTTCTTTTATAGGGATTTTAAAAGTATGATATACAATGCATATAAATTTAATATTTTATTTGAGCACATTATTAATATAAGCATTGAGATAAAAAAGTATATGTGATTCGATAATAGCTAGTTGGTATTTTATATATAGTAATGTGTGAAAAGGACAAGTAAAGATTGATTGACCTGTTAGTTAAAGATTGATTGACCTATACAGAATGATGGGCTGACGGACTTTCCTTTAAATATTGTGGTTGGGTGTTATCATCTACAGATTCACATAATAAAATGAATATGAGTTATAAGAGTTATTACTATACCGACATATAAAGAGTTATGACTCTGTTTACTGATCTAACGATTATTGATTATTGATTATCTACCACTGAAAAATATTATGATAGCCACGACTTCTTACTTGCTTAAATGTGACTTAGAAATACGTGTTACAAATTCATTATTATTTTTACGATTTTACAGATATTATATTGATTTACTGTCATTATACATATTTATTGTTACTATATTGCTTTACTATTAATGCCACTGATTTTACCGACGATGCTGTTGTAACAACTGCTTAATGGAATATGAGTATTATAATTATACTAATACTGTTGTCGATATTAACATTGATATTATTTGATACTACTATAGATTCATTATTATTGTTATTGTTATTGTTATTGATTCACTTTATTAATACTAAGCATATGATATATTAAGCAAGTGATATATTGAGCAACATGTGATTAAAATATTAATTTGATACTGATATAGAATAAATGAATAACATGTATATATTATTATAAAATTTTATTATATTGATCTGAGTTTGACAATTCTTTACCGATGATTTGATTTTTATCATTTTATATGATTGCTTTCATGATTTATACGACTACTTGATTTGACAGCCAAACTAACTTATCATTTACCCACTATATTGGTTTGTTGGTTTTTGTGTTGCACTAGTTTACCATTTATATATTCTAATGCTACTACACGTGAGTGTTACTATTTCTACACTGATTATTGATCATATAACTATTATTGTTATGAATTGACTGACGACATGTATATTACTTTGTTATCTTGTTTTGAATCTAGTTATAAGATTTTAATGTGACCTGCATTGCTTTAAGCCGCAACATGTTGGCCATTATAAAAGAAGCATAAAAATAAGTATTGTAGATATGAGGATGCCCAAGTAGATAAGTGTCACACTACAGGATCTATATTGAAAGAATTACTTATCTCTTTCATTTTAATCATTTAGCAATAGTTTACCAATGAATAGTAGAAATAAACATGATTGCATTTTTATCTTGTATGAAACCTCATATTATAGGATCCTTACACTTTCCTAAAAACATGTAAAATCAAGTAATGAGCACATAGTCCAACAAGTAATTAAAATCTTATAATTAAAATCAATGCAATATAAAATAAAATAATATGATATAACTCATATAAAAAAAATATATGCATTAATATCCATACTTATTATTTGTATTGATTTATCCTTCTATAGTTTATTATCTGCATCAATTTATCCAGCATAGTTCATGACATCTTAGTCCATTTCATCATTATTCATGGTATCACTAAGAATCAACAATACTAATGCCAGTAACAATATTAGTATCATGATTAATAACATTAACTAGTATTCATGAAAGTAAATTGAATTAGTGTCAGTCACAATATCAATATAGTATTTGTAGCAATATTTGATACTAATATTTAGATATTCAATGAGTATATCTTAAGGGTAACTTGCTCATGCACTTATGACTCCCAACTAGTATCGCCTTATAACTCCCAATTAATGTACTCCTTATAACTCCCATTGAATCATGTTAATCAATTTCCCCGACTCCTTATAACTCTTAATCAATCTCCGGCTTCTAATCAATGAATCACGTAGATTAGTAGGGTATCACGTGTAGTTATCATATCATGTATCTGACAAAATTCATTATTTCATTTAAAATAATATTAAATCATTCAGAATGATCAAATCTATAGTATATCTAAACTTGCACGGTGAAAACTTATGAAATCAATAGATAATGCATTTTTGATAGATTTAGAAGACATAAAATCTGTAGAAATTAAAATAATTAAAAACATAAGTAAAAGCATAGTCACTTACAATATTTTTCATGGCCTAGTGTCACAGCACTGACTAAATCAGTGCCAAGGCGCTCTATTTCATAATTTTCATATTAGAGTTATTATAATAAGTGGCTTTACACAAAGAGACAGAGTACAAAACATGTATATATCTGAAAAGCTGGAGTAGCTCAACTGGAAAATAAGATTAGAGAGTGTCGCCTTAAATGGTTTGGTCACATAAAACATCAGCCTTAGTTCCAATGAGGCTATTATGAGAGTAAATATATTAGATCCATCCTATGTTAAGAAAGGTAGAGGCAGATCTAAAAGACGTTGTTAGAAAATATTAGAAATATTCTTTGCTTATTAAACTTAAATGAGAATGACTCTTAATAAGACACAATGAAGAAAAAAGATTCACATAGCTAACCCCACATGTTAGGATAAAAGACATGTTATTGTTTTTATTGTTGTTGTTGTTGTAGCAGCTTCTCTTGTGAAAAATCATAAAAAAAATATAAGAGAATTAAATTTTATTTAATAATGAAAAATAATTTCAGCAGCATTTCATAGTATAAAAAGATATATGATAGTTGGTATTTAAATATTTGTTTTAATTGTTTTGTACATCACAAAACTCATCCTATAACAGAAAATCTATATTGCATTTAAAATTCGATCAAATCTAATGATTGTCAAATACATTAAAATTGAAATAGATGATTAATTCGAAATATTTTAAAAAAGTTCTTAATTCAAATAAAAAATTAACATATTTAAAACTCTTTTTATTTGAAATAATTTACACCCATTTTATGTAAAAATATTTTCATTTAGACTTTTCTTTAATCTCATTCTTAAATTTTTATATCAGAATATAGTAACATAATTTTTTTAAAAAAAATATTATCAGTAACTCATTTATTTATTTAAATGGCCTAAGCTACGCTCTTCCTGCCGTACACTCAGAAGCAACTGCAAAATATCTTTCAACGAACGACCATTTAAAGATCGGTAATAGAACAACAAACCAAACAGAATGGCCTCCGCCGCTCTTTCTGTGAATGGCGCAAAGGCCTCTCCATGGGTTACTGCGTGCGGATTCAAGAAGCAATGGAAGAATCAGAGTGCCCGCCTGAAGGATATCCGTTGCGAGGCCAGAAGCGGCGGCGGCGGCGGCGGAAGGCGTGGATCGGCGGTGGCTTCATGGGCGGGGGAATATGATCTCTATTCTCTGCTTGGGGTGGAGAGGACGTCGGAGACGGGGGAAATAAGGAAGGCGTATCGTGCGTTGCAGAAGAAGTGCCATCCGGACATCGCCGGGCCTGTGGGTCACGATATGGCCATTCTCCTCAACCAAGTTTATTCGGTGCTCTCTGATCCAGCTTCACGTTATGCTTATGATCGGGTTTTGCTCTGCCTCTTCTCTGTGTTCTCTTTCGATTATGTATGCAGTACGATGATTAGTGCTTGTTTGCTTCTGTCTTGTTATGATTTATTGTTGATGAGTTTCTTAATAATCCCTCCATGATTCAATCGTGTCTCCTCAATCTAGGGAAACCTAAAAGTGAAATCAGAAATGTTTGCCCGATCCAGGGAGATGAAAGACTGACTCTACCCGATCAGAAATGTTTAACGCCGCTTGATTACCTTATCCAATTTCTAAAACTTCCATGGTGACGACCCTCATTGCAGATAACCCTTTTGATGGTCGTTGCGTCACAGGATTCATCTTCAAACTATATGGGGCAGCCCCCTGCACTCCTCCTGTTAACCCATCGACCCGCTGCTGCTTTTGACCACCTCAAGAGTAGGGAAATCGAAATTCTTTTATATTCTTTCTGCACTCATCTCATTAAAGGAATGATAAGAGTAGCGTTTATTGAAAATAAAATGATTAAGAATAGATTCAAGTGCTTTGCTTATGCATCGTGAGAGATAAAAAATTCACACAAGATGGATGGATAAATGGATAAATCTGTGTCAGATGATTGTGAATGAAGTATTAGACGGAGGCCTTCCGATGACCCGGTTAGGAAAGTTGAGGTATTAGATTTGACTTATGTTAAGAAAGGTAGATGTAGACCTAAAAAGGCTTGGTTATAAAATATTAGAAATGATCTTTCTTTATTAGATTTAAATGAGAATTTGACTTTTAACCAGGCACAATGGCGAAAAAGGATTTATGTAGCCGACCACTTAGTGGGACAAAGGCTTGATGTTGTTGTTGTTGTTGTGGATGATTGGGAATGAAGATAGGTAGACTAGAGGTAGTATAGAAAGAAGTGCAAAAATATTTATGTTTAATAAGTTTAATACTTCATCATAAATAGGAATGATTGAAGAGCAAGGCCAACAATGGTGATAATGATTTTCACATTTCTCAAATTTTAAGGGGAATGGTCACCTTAATCTTCATCAAATCGTTCTTTTTGTGTATACTTTTTTGACCTATTCTTGTATGAGCTTTGAACTAATTGATCTCATGTTAAGACTGTAAGACTGTTTTGTAGCTATGCATGATATTTATAACCATAAGCAACCAAATTACACAGTGACAATTCACCTCTTCACAAACTCATTAAATATGACTCTGGTGTTGCTCATGCAGGAGAGATCCAAACACCTAGAATTTCAAGGATACACGGGCAAACCTATTTACTCTAGATGGCTTGGAAATCAGGCAGAACAACGAGCGGTTTTCGTCGATGAGGTCAAGTGCATTGGCTGCTTGAAATGTGCTCTGCATGCAAACAATACATTTGCTATTGAATCAGCTTATGGCCGTGCAAGAGTAGTCGCACAGTGGGCTGATTCGGAGGACAAGATCTTCGATGCAATAAAAACCTGTCCGGTGGATTGCATATCGTAATACATTAACCTTCTATTCCACAGATTTTGTTGCAATTCTGAATATGTTAAACTAAACCAAAACTTTTCTAGATGTACTCAACTGTGGGAAAATGCTTTGTTCTTGATTCTAGGGTTGTGGAGAGGTCAGACCTTGCCGCCCTTGAATTCCTTATGTCAAAGCAGCCGCGTGGCTATGTGAGGATGACGGGAGGCAACAATGTAGGGGTACGGGTGGCCAACGTATTCGATGAGGTGAAAAAGTTTCAGAGGAAGTTCGATGAGATGAACGCTAAAGCATCAGCCAAAAATTCACAGGTTAGCAAGGAAAATTTCATGTTCATGGAACTATTAACTGTAAATATATTCCTAAGTAGGAATGTAAACTGCCCAAGGAATGAAAACGTTTCTGCATGAAGAGTTAATAGCTAAAGGGATTTTTACATACATAACATCTAAAACTATTGAAAATAATACATATTTAACACTTAAACTTCTATATTTATTAATATACCACCTAAAATCCCTCTTTTAATCAATTCTAACATTCCGTTTAAACCTTTTCGTCAAAAATCACTATCAACAACTGTCTTTCCCGTCAATGACATTCTTTCACAGTGAATACAAGTATCTCATCACTTCAAATGGAGTGGTAGAATAGAAGAAAAAGGGGATTTTAGTTACTATATTAGTAAATATAGAAGTTTAGGTATTAAATATGCATTTTCAATAGTTTTAGGTGCTATGTATATAAAAATCTAATGGATGGACAGATTTGATATGAACATTCTTTAATAACTAATCTGTTCTGCCTTCCATCTTGCAGGAGTCTGATCTCCAAAAAAAATCCAGAACTTCAGTTATGGATGCAGTCAGATCAATTTCAAACTGGTTGTATTGGCAAAAGGTCAGCTCAGCAGAAACTCAGCTAAGTCTCACAGACTCTTCAACAAAACCATCACCACCAAATGTCAAAAAACTTCAAGAAGCTGCAGCCAAATTGAAAGCAAGAGCAACAACAGGATTCGCTAACAGGCCTACAGCAAGCCATGATGATGAAGAATACTGGACACCATTGCTTACCCTTCCAACCCAATCGGCCAGCAGCTTAACTACTTCATCGGCTTCTGGCAAGCCAGAGCCTCAAATAGGTTCTACTATAAAAGAAAAGAACAATGAAGCTATTGATGAGGAAATAAGCAGGCAAAACAAGACAAACCCTTTGGCTCTTGGAATTCCATTATCAATGGCAGTAATATCAGCGGTTGTTAATGGATCCAAAGGCAGAGATTCAAGCTTCGGCCATGGCTTGCAAGAACATATAGGTGGGTCTTTTGCTTTGGAAATTGTCAACAGTTTTGAGCTTCAGGTTATATTGGCAGGTATCACTTGGTTTTTTATTGGTCTGGTTATTGTTACAGTTATTGGATTTTTTGGAGAGAAGGATGTTTCTAGAAGATGAATGAGATTGGTTCTTAACAGTATAGAAGCATAGGGCTTTAGAATTATACAGGAACATTTCAATATATAGTATGTATATATTTGCAGTTTGGATTTTAAATATAGCTCCATCATTTTATATGAATAGTATGGAAGGAAGGAAGAAAAAAAATCGTGCGTAGGGCATCTCCAACCGAAAAACTCATTTTTCACTCCAAAATACATTAAAATTTCAAAATGCACTCATTCTTCTCCAATCGAATGCTATTTCTTTTTCTTTCGCACGTTTCCTGCGATGTTAATCATTTCTTGCACGCTTTTCTCCTCTTTCGCGTGCTTCTTCGGCAAATCTTGTAGCGATTATTTTTTTGGCGTAGGTGAACAGTCCGACGTCAATATTAGCCTCGCACTGTTCACCTACCAAAATTTGGAGTACGATTTAAAGTTCGAATGGAGCAAATGACTGAGAACATACAATAATATAAAGTTCGATCGGAGATGATATCAAGTCCTGTTCTAATCCTACCTATTGCAAAAAAAGATGAGTGCGTCAGTTCACGACTATTTTAGCCTGGACATTAAACTTATAGGAGGGAATTTTTTAATTTATTCTTTGTTTACCATATTGAAGTGTGTGGTGGGGCGCGAACAATTAGTAGGTCAGGTGACCTGACGTAACTCTACGTTCGGACGCCAATAATATGTCGCCACGTGTTCTTACTCTTTACCGCGCAGCCCGATGACCCGACCCGGACCGGAGCCCGGGATTGCTATGTTCGCGTATTGCTAGGTATTGCTCGGTATTGTTAGGTATTATTTGGCAATAATGAGAAATATCGCTCTGTCAAGGCCAATATCGAGCAATATCGAGAAAAAAACTCGATATTGCTCGGTATTGCTAGGTATTAGTCTTCACAGAGTGGTATTTCTCATTATTGCCGAGCAAAATCGATCAATACCTAGCAATATGCGAACATAGCAATCCCGGGTCTGTTACAGGTCGGGTTGTCAGGCCGTGCGGTAAAGAGTAAGAACACGTGGCACTATTTTACTGACATCCAAACGTAAAACTACGTCAGGTTACCGGACCAAATAAAAGTTCATGGTGCGTTGTGTATAGCAATATTTTTTTTTTTATTTCAATTTTGCCCTCCCGAGTTACCTTTCCACGTGATTGTGCATTACTTGCTTTTTTTTCCTTTTATTTATTAAGAATACGGTAAGTTTTTAAAGATCTTTCTGTGAGTCATGCAGCTCATTTGGGTATGCTGCTTTGAAGTTTTAATTATCAACTAATTTTTTTGGATTTGTATATATATATATATATATGTAAATTTATATTAATTGACTCAAAAATCCCAAAAAAAATCTTTTTGAGACATCTTTTGCACTGCTGGAGCAACATCAAATGTCTTATACATTGATTCAAATTTATTTAGTAGGCAATATTTAATTATGTTTAGCAAAGAGCGAGAGAATAAGTTGAAGGAATCAATGAGTATGATGAGTAGAAGAGCAAAATAATATATGTAACTAATAAATAAGGTGAAGGCCAAAATATGCCTCAAATTCTTATTTAGAGTTTAGAGGGCTGCCATAAAGATTACATTTAAAAAATAGAAAAATATAAACAAAAAGATAAATACATACTGATATAGAGACATGAGCGAGATTAAGACTTCATTTGGGACGGCTTTTTAACAGCTTTTTATTAAAAAATTAAATTTTTTTATTAAAAAATTATTTTATGAAACGGTAAAAAAGCCATCCTAAATGAAGCCTAAGTAGGGCAAACATAGGCTTTATATCCTTGATATGGCTTGCATAAGCACCCGAGAGTATTTTGCAAGTGCATGGAAGATGAATACCTTGGAAGGATATAATAGAAAATGTCATATTTGAGAAATGTGAGTACAACCATTAGACTTGAGGCTATTGAGAGAAACTAAGAATTTTTATTTTATTTTTTAATAAATAAAATTTTAAAATATAAAAATTATCCTAAAAGTTTTTCATAAAATATTTAAGACACATGAGACATTCATATTCAATTTTTTAAAATATTTTTTTAATCAAACATATCTTTGACGTGTCCGATACATAATAGATATGTGTCGAATATGTAATATATTCGATACATATTAAACACTACATAGCTCATTGATATTTGAAGCCTATAGCCCCCAATTACCTTTTGAAAAATGCCACTGAAAAGCCAACCGAGGCTTCTTAGTTCATGCCTGGGTTTCAAGTATCCCATCTGCATTCGGTACAATAATCTGCTTGGATACAAATGTGGAAGTCAAATTCAAAAACAAAACACATTGAAATGTTTCTAAAATGATTAGAACAAAATCGATGCAAAAGTTCCATATATCCTCAAAACACCTATAGGCTTCACCTAAAAGTTCTCTTACCCGGAAAAGCTAAATTATTGCTTATGGATTGAAACCTGAAAATTTTGTTTTCTAAATAGCAAAACTCAAAGCAGGCAACCTGAGCCAACATCTTTTTAATAAGAAAATCTTCCTCTTCTAAGAAAATTTTGTTCATCAAAATGAAATTATAGCTGCACTTGAATGGTTCTGATTTTGGGATAAGCAGAAGAAACTTGAACTTGGAACGGTTCTGATTTAATCTTGGGAAATTAAAGATGACCTCACCACCGATTTTTGGGAGGCTTTACTTTGTATATGCGAATTATCCAGTTTGAAGTTGTGAAGGCCTCTTCTAAATACTCGAGCTTCACGTCTTTATTCCCAATCTCAACACCCCTTGCACGATCATATCTGCAAGAAATAAAAGAAGCTACAAATTAGGAGGAAAAAAAAAAAGGTTGAAGCAGAAAATTCAGTACATAATAAGTGACAGAATATACTGAAATTCAACTTATTAGCAGCTCTACAGAGAGATTAATATTTTTAACATGCCATAAGTGTATTGTAATGACCAAGGACAAGTTAAGAACACATCAGGATAAGGAGTTTTGAAAGAGATTCAACTAAGGCTTCGTTTGGGAATTGGGACAATTCATAAAGCAACTTTTTTTTACAAAATTTTTATTTTTTGAACTATAAAGTTACTTTGAGAAGCAGTAAGAAGCCGCCTCAAACGAAACCAAAATAGAACGCACCGCAAAAGCACAACTAGTCTTGTGCTTTATATGTGAATGCAGCGTTGAAATGTACACAATATCCAAATCCTGATGAAAATAATGCGTTGCCTGATGAAAATTACAGGCAAGAACTAGAGTAATGATGGCATATATCACATTACAAAGTAACTTGCAAGAAAGTATAAATAATTAACATGTTGAGCAATGACAAGTCTCCATCAACAAAGTAATTTCGTATCTTTAAGCAAGTTCCTTAGAAGATAGGTGAATCAATTACAAATTTACAAATTACAATTAATTGAAGTTTTACATTTAGCTTAAGAAGGACGAAAGATATATGTATAAGTGAGCCAAGCAAAAAGATAGTAGCAGTAAGGGTTTAGTTCAAGTGAAGTGCATTAAGGATGAAGATCAAAATAGTATTTTTATTAGGAGAGAATATTCAACAAAAATGGATGAGATATTTTAGCTAACCTTTTCAAAGAAGATTGTGAGAACACAAAAAAAAAAAAAGATTGTTCGAATACAATTGGCTTTAGTTTAGCACCCTAAATTAAAAAAATAGATTTTTTACTTTATCGGCATATTACTAAAATCGAAGTTATAGAGATTAAAAAAAAAAAGTGGGCAAAAACTATTGAACCTGATGATATTCCGATAGAGATGTGTAAATGCTTAGGAGAGAGTAATTTCTTGGCTTACTAAACTTTTTAATATTATTTTGAAGACTAAAAAGATGTCATATGAATAGAGAATGAGTGTTGATACGTATTTTTAAGAATAAAAGAGATGCACAAGATTGTGCAAATTAGAGAGAAATTTAAGTTAATGTGTCATACTTTAAAACTATGAGAGAGAGTTATTAAGCATATGTTATGGCATGATACTAATGTTTCTAAAAATCAATTTGAATTCATGCCATATAGGTCTACTATGAAAGCTATACATTTATTGAGAGGTTTGATGGAGAAATATAGATAGATAAAGGAGCTACATATGATATTTATTAATTTAGAGAAACCATATGATAAAGTTCCAAGAGAACTGCTATGGAGCGTTCTAGAAAAAAAAGGGTTAATAATATTTATATTCAGTGAACAGCAGTTTGCATCGAGATTTGCTGTAGAAGTGATTTGGAAATACTTGAAATCAAGTATTTCCTATCACAATGCTTTATGGCGCAGAATGTTGGCCATTAAAAGAGAAGTATAATATTACGTTAAGTGTTGCATATGGGGATGGTCAGGTGGATGAGCAACTTTACTCTTATAGACAAAATACAAAAAAGCATATACATGAAAAGTTTGGTGTAGCTCCAATGGCAAATAAGATTAGAGAGATTCGCCTTAGATAGTCTGGTCACATAAAACGTCGGCCTTTTGATGACTTAGGAGAGTAGATATATTAGATTTTGCTTATATTAAGAAAGGTAGACGTAGACCTACGAAGACTTGGTTAGAAAATATTAGAAATGACTTTTCTTTATTAAATCTAAATGAGAATTTGACTCTTAATTGGACACAACGGAGAAAAATGATTTATGTAATCGACCCCACGTAATGAATTAAAGGCTTGATGTTGTTGTTATTGTTGTCATGTCTATGCTTGAAGACAAATATTGTCATGACAGCGGATAAAATCCACAATGATCCCTTAAGATGAGATCTAATATATATAAAACATCTATGGCATCACATATAATCAAATTTCACTGCCACTTGCCTAGCCCAATGGTTCGCAAAGCTTCTTCAACTTTTCCAAACAGGAGAGCAACTTATCCATGTTGCATTTACACCCGTCGCCTTCTTTTCAAATAAAACAAATGAAAAATATGAATGCATTGTCCAAGCAGTTTTAGTTCTTTGACCATTGGAAAGCTAGTTAATGCAGAAAAAAAACACATAGCAATCGTAAAACTGAATGAGATAGAGACCATAATACAATTAAATAACAGGTAACACCCAAGCCTGACATATCATTTCACAAAAAAAAAAAAACATCAAAGAAAAAGTCGTTAACTTTCAAGGTAAATTCCATGCTAAACCAATGCTATTAAATGACATGAAATCTGGCAAACAACGTACCCTGGAGGCTTTCCATACTCTGTTGTAACCTCTCCAAATCTATAGTAACAAAGTTTGTACCTGCCAATCAACCGAATCGAATAGATTGTCAAACAAAAAGAATATTTCAAGTGATGTTGCAGGTAATCATTTGCAATTAGAAAATCTATCCAAAAGCAATAATAAAAATAGTAAATGATGATTGCTAAAAATTAAAAAAATGCATCCCTAGCATTCTGACAACCCAATCATTAGTTAGTGAATGAAATGAAAGGCTTTTTCCATTCATAATAAGGAAGCCCTCTACAGCTGAAAATAGTAAGTGCTTCCTGGCCATCTACTCCAACAAGCGTGCACAACATCTGCGTGAACGTATCACAGTTGTTTCATCAGTCTGTTTTAATATAAATATCAATGCATATTAATTATCATATAAAAATTGATAGTTCCTGCAAGACTTTTCAAAAATTGAAGTGCTGAACTTTATTAAGGGGTAGTTTGGTTGAATATTTATAAAAAAATGCATGCATTTTCCGGGAGTTGTTTGGTTGGATGTAAATTAAATGCACTAAAATATTTGTGTTTCTTATGATAAATTTCAAAGGCAAAATGCAAATGAGAGCAGGCGGTGGCAAACCGTGGTGGTGGGTGGCCGTGGCTGATTGGGTGAGAATCATGAGCGGGCAGCCGGGCACAATTCGGGATTTGAAAATCACCCATTTTTAACAATTCCCAAAATGCAACAAAATACTAGAAATATTTTAGATCTATAAAAATTATAATTTATATTTCTTTTGCATCATACAAAAAATAAATTGGAATGAAGAGAAATGAAATGCAGTAACCTACTTATGCAGTTGACCAACAGCCCCTAGGCCACAATTCCATTCCAACAAAAAAAAAAGTTCACCGCTCCAATGACTAAATAATGTTTACAAAAGTCATCTATATCTCGAAAGTCATCTAAATCTCGAAAACGAAATTTTAACAATCATGGTTAAAACTTACATGAGACAGTTCAGCATTTTTGGTGCAGCCCCTTTGTCAACTCGGTATTCGCCATTCACAAGGTACTCGGGCTCCTTTATGACAGAAAAAACTCCACCACCAATACGTACCATCCAAAGAAACCTGCAAGATTTATCAGTTTTATACAAAAAAAGAAACAATATAGCTATATGAAACGTTAGCTAAACTGGTTTTACGGACAACTGAAGATTTTAATGGGATGCACGCAATGGTATGCAAAGCTGAGGAACTGGATAACAACATACTTGTTAATGTCATCTGAAGAATAACCAGTAACACCTCCAAATACAACAAGCACATAATCCACGTCTAATGATTTCATTATATCGTATGCTTCATCTTCATATGATGACATTGCACGACCTACTGTAGCAATATGTGTATTATTCCAAGTATTATTGTCGACAATCACAGTTCTATTTCCCATTGCAGTAATCTGATATCCATAATCCCACCAGGACATAATTTTGGCATCTGCAGGGGTATTTTTCCTGAGCCAAAAATATGCTTCGCGGTAATCATCAAAAATGACCCTGCCACCATGAGCACCCCTTGCAGCCAAGACAATTGAAGGAGAAGAATAGGCCTCGGATGTGACCCAAGTGCAATGAATGGCATATCTACTTAACAGATAAAAAGCGCCTAGCAACAAAGCAATAGCCACATTTCTTTGGTAAGGTAGAGGTTGGTCGAAAGATGATGCCTGGAAATGCATAAATATGAGCTAACTCAATAATAGTTCATTTCTGAAACTGTTAAGCGTACACCTACCATTAACTAAATAGAATAATAATAATAATAATCATCATATGAAACAATTAAGGTTAACATCAATACGGGAGGAGTTCGAATCCATTTTTTGCAATTTCAAAGAACTTAGTGGCAATGACTGACAGAAAAAAAAAATATATTTACAGATGAAAAACTAGTGTTCCATTTATGTTCAGGTACGACCAAAACAAGTCACTGTCAAATTTAACATATAGTCAAGACCATTTGGTCCTACAGAATAATCAAGTTATTCTATAAATGGTATTGTTGAAATCCAGCTATCGAAATCCAGCCGTTCCTAGTGCAAAGGATCCGACGGACACAAAGATCAATCCGTGGGATACTCTCATGGATTACGCCATAATGAGGGGACGTATTTAGGAAAGATTTTTATGTATTATTTATGTATTAATTATGCAATTTATTTTTTCCTCATTAGGATGTCTTGTATAGATCTATAAATAGGGAAGATTGTAATGAATAATTTCAAGCTTTTCCCTCTCAAATTCTCCGTTTTAACAGGTATAACTCATATGTTGAAAGGTTTTGATTATTTCATCAGTTTTTAATAAAAATATATTAAGAATTGAAAAAATAAAAGCCAAACAAAAAAATATTAGATTGGGAAAGCATTGTACTCACCTTAGCTGATGCCTTTAAGCTAGCTGTCCCCTTGCTGGATCCCATTGGAGTAGCATTATTCTTTGCTCGAATTAACATTGTTAAATTTTTCAAGGTAGCAGAAACCGCGATAGAGCTAATAAGGCACACAGCAGGTGCAGCAACAAGTATCAAACGAACCATTACACCAGCAAAATACATGCTCGTGAGACCATACATAACAATAAAAATAGTGGCATCTGATAACCGCTTGAAACAGAAATACAGGCCAGCAGGAAATAGGAAAAGAAGAATATGAAAGTCAAACATGAAGGAAGACCATGCAGTTGGTTGATGCTCCGAAACAGATGCAATAATGGGAATATGGTCCTTTGCATATGTCGGATCAAGCAAAGAATAAAAACGACCTGTCCAAGGAGAAATATATCCCGTGGCCATGCCAACTCCGAGAGCAAGAGAACCCACACTAATGGCACATGTCAAAGCTATCCTCAAGAAGGAATAAAATAATTTGGGATCATTTAGCGTGAACTTAACCCAGTCTAGAAAGTAAAATACCTGCAGAGAAGAATTAAATTAGAAGCAAAGCCAAAATTCTTAAAAATAGTAAGCAAATAAATTAACAATGGCGTAGAAAGATATTTCATAGAACAGAGCATGAGACAGTTTGAAGAACTACACGGCCCACACAAATTAGCTTATCATTAAAACATGTACACTACATATACACATGAGAGTACGTATTCCAAAACAACAAAAGAGCAGATAGCAATCATAGGAGAACATTAAGCTTTTATTTTTAACCATGTGAAGCATAAAAGCAAATGAAATAAATAATGATCACACTGTGGCATAAAAGTGGCACTGTTAAGAGTGTGCTTCGCATCATGCATTTAGAGTGAAATGCTTTGACATGGAGTTTCACAATGTCACTCAACTGCGAAGCATTCTACATTGCAAACCATGCACACTAGCACTTTGCAGCAACTTGCAATGCTCAACGTGGCACTGAAGTTGATCACTTTTCATTTTAGAGCAAGTTGAACTCTTCAATCAATCCACTAATATAAGTAGAGCAATTCACTTTCAGACATCCTCTAAACCAAATGGTTTCAAAACCCATCTTTAATGACTCTTCAGTCTTCACCAACAACTCTTCCGCTTCAATACTTTTTCACCATGGTTTGAGGTGTTTTTTTGTAGTCATTAAAAATTTCTAATGATTGGAAGCTCTCACCGCACAATAGCACCTATTTGAACTACATTTGTTTTTTTTCAACCTTCAGTGCCCATCAATTGCCTTGCCTCATTTTCCCTCTTGATTTCTGATTCTCTCTAGATTTTGGGGTTCAGAAAAATTTTTGCTCGTGCATATCGTACACAACATTATGTGTGTTATAAGCGGGAGTTCATAGCAGTGTACTCATATGACCCAAAATATATAGTTGCATCCTCCCATAAGCTTGTCCATCTAATGGGCACATTTTATATCAGATGTTTTGAACTCACCCTTATGTGAGTAATACAACCATGTATGGTTTGGTTGCGTGTGTATACAGCCATTTACACAACTATATATTCTTTGCGGTCAGTTCTATACTCATGTCAACAACATACACAATTGTTCATCATGATCATTAGCCTTATCACAAATTGTGATGTAAGCTTCACCATGAATTATTCCTTAATAACAACAACAACATCAAGCCTTTATCCCACTACATGGGATCGGCTACATGAATCATTTTTCTCCATTGTGTCCTATTAAGAGTCAAATTCTCATTTAAATCTAATAAAGAAATGTCATTTCTAATATTTTCTAAGCAAATTTTTTTAGGTCCACCTCTATCTTCTTAACATAGGCCAAATCTAATACACCTACTCTCCTAACAGAGTTATCGGAAGCCGCCGTTTTACATGACCAAAGCATCTAAGGTGACATTCTCTAATCTTATCTGTCACTTAAGCTACTCCAACCTTTTCATGGATATGCTCGTTTCGTATCCTTTCTCTAAGAGTAAATCCACTCATCCACCTGAGCATCCTCATCTCAGCAACACTTAACTTAATATTATGCTTCTCTTTTAATGGCCAACATTCTACGCCATAAAGCATCGTAAGTCTCACCACCATCTCATAAAAATTTTCCTTAAATTTGAGTGGTACTTTTCTATCACACAACAAACCCGAAGCATTCCTCCACTTCAACCATCCAACTTGAATTCTACTAATAACATCTCCATCAATTTTACCATCACTCTGAATAATAAACTCAAGATATCTAAAACAAGTACACTTATTAATGACTTGATCGCTCAAAACCACAAACCCCCCGTTAGATCCATTACTACTAAAAATACACTCCATGTATTCAGTTTTAGATCCACTAAAAAGAAAACCTTTAGACTCTAAGGTAAACCTCCATAATTCGAGTTTACCTTCAACTCCCTCTCTAGTTTTATCAACAAGTAGAATATTATCAACAAAAAGCATACACCAGGGTACATCCTCTTGCAAATGTCTAGTAAGAACATCCATGACTAAAGCAAAACGGTAAGGGCTTAAGGTTGATCCTTGATGTAATCCAACTGAAATAGGAAAATGATTAGTCAAACCACCTTGTATTTAAACACAAACCACCTTGTATTTAAACACAAGTAACAGCTCCTGCATACATATCCTTAATGGTTTGAATATAAGGATTATTAACCCCTTTTTTTCTAGGACTCTCCATAGCACTTCTCTTGGAACTTTATCAAATGCTTTGTATAAATCAATAAATATCGTATGTATATCCACCTTATTCTCTCTAAACTTCTCCATCAACCCTCTCAATAAATGAATAGCTTCTATAGTAGACCTACCCGACATGAATCCAAATTGATTTTGAGAAACATTAGTATCACGTCATAACCTATGCTCCATAACTCACAAAATTTTAAAGTATGATACATCAACTTAATTCCTCTATAATTAGCACAATCTTGTGAATCATCTTTATTCTTAAAAATAGGAATTAACACACTCATTCTCCACTCATCTGGCATCTTTTTAGTTTTCAAAATATTATTAAAAAGTTTAGTAAACCAAGAAATTCTTTCATCTCTTAAGCATTTCCACATCAATGTCGAAATACCATCAGGTCCAATAGTTTTTCCACATCTCATTTTTTTAAAATCTTCTCCAACTTCAAATTTACTAATACGCCGATAAAAATTAAAATATGTATTTTTTTTAGAATATTAAGATCACTAAAGTCAATCATATTCTCACAATCTTTATTGAAAAACTTAGCAAAATATCTCATCCACCTTTTCTGAATATCCTCTTCTAAAAAAAGCACTTTTTGAACTTCATCCTTAATGCACTTCACTTGAACTAAATCCTTACAATTCCTATATCTTTGTTTGGCTGACTTATACATATATATTTCGCCCTCCTTAGAATACTTATACATATATATATTTTGCCCTCATAATATAATCTATTATAAAAATCATTAAAAGCTAAAATATTTGCATCGTAGATTGCTTTCTTAGACACCTAACGAGCCTCTTTATATCTTTCCTAACTTTTAAAGTTTTTACATCTAAACCAATTATTAAAACAAAGCTTCTTATTTTTTATCTTTTCTAGCACATTTTGATTCCGCCACCAACTATTTTATTATTAGGAGCTTTTCCTTTTGAAACTTCAAGCACATCATCTGCAACATTCTTAATATTACTAGCTATTTTTTCCCACATAACATTTGCTTCCTCATACACAGACAAAATCATAAGATCTTGAATCTTACTCTAAAAAATATTTTTATTAGCGGTGGACAATACCGAGCAGCATCTAGTAGATAATTGGAACCATCTCTATCTTTGATAATTATGCTAATGGGTATAGCGACGGGTTTTTCCTCCAATAAAGACATATTAGAATTATTTTTTCATAAAGATGCACGTCAAGATAGAGTTAATCAACACCAGCAACTAAAAGAACTTCATTTCTACCAAGTTAATGCATAAATTAGTGTTGGACAATATACCGCATCACAATATTTAAAGGCTAGAGATCAAGAGGGTCATCAATGTCTGTTGCAGTTTGTCATCACCAACTATTACTTTGCTGAATGGTATGCAAAATGATTCCACTTTATAACTGTCAACTAATCTTCGCCATTTCATATCTTCATAATAGTTATATGTACTATATAATGCCCTTATCAATCTTAGCTCACAAATAACGTAAATATATTTCTACATAAAATAGAATACGGCATTCCAATGACATACAAATTAACATTAGGGCAAGTAGCCAAACTTATTGGTGCAGGCTAGATATTCCTATTGATTCTTGTCTTCCCTACAGAGAAAAAAAACTAGTATTACTCTCTAACGTGAGAAAAAAAGGCATATTGTTGATACAAAAGTTAACTGGGAAGTAAGACATACGGCCCTTCCGTGGCACTGAAGTTGATCACTTTTCATTTTAGAGCAAGTTAAACTCTTCAATCAATCCACTAATATAAGTAGAGCAATTCACTTTCAGACATCTTCTAAACCAAATGGTTTCAAAACCCACTTCTAATGACTCTTCAGTCTTCCCCAACAACTCTTCCCCTTCAATACTTTTTCACCAGGGTTTGAGGTGTTTTTTTGTAATCATTTGAAATTTGTAATGATTGGAAGCTCTCACCGCACAATAGCACCTATTTGAACTACATTTGTTTTTTTCAACCTTCAGTGCCCATCAATTTCCTTGCCTCGCTTTCCCTCCTGATTTCTAATTCTCTCTAGATTTTGGGGTTTAGAAAAATTATTGCTCGTGCATATCGTACAAAACATTATGTGTGTTATAAGCGGGAGTTCATAGCAGTGTACTCATATGACCCAAAAAATATAGTTGCATACTCCCATAAGCTTGTCCATCTAATGGGCACATTTTATATCAGATGTTTTGAACTCACCCTTATGTGAGTAATACAACCATGTATGGTTTGGTTGCGTGTGTATACAGCCATTTACACAACTAAATATTCTTGGCGGTCAGTTCTATACTCATGTCAACAACATACACATGATCATTAGCCTTATCACAAATTGTGATGTAAGCTTCACCATGAATTATTCCTTAACAACAACAACAACGTCAAGCCTTTAACCCACTACGTGGGGTCGGCTAAATGAATCTTTTTTTCTCTATCGTGTCCTATTAAGAGTCAAATTCTCATTTAAATCTAATAAAAAAATGTCAGTTCTAATATTTTCTAACCAAATCTTTTTAGGTCCACCTCTATCTTTCTTAACATAGGCCAAATCTAATACACATACTCTCATAACAGAGTCATCGGAAGGCCGCCATTTTACATGACCAAAGCATCTAAGCGACATTCTCTAATCTTCTCAGTCACTTAAGCTACTCCAACCTTTTCATGAATATGCTTGTTTTGTATCCTGTCTCTAAGAATAAATCCACTAATCCACCTGAGCATCCTCATCTCGACAACACTTAACTTAATTCTGCGCCATAAAGCATTGCACGTTTCACCACCATCTTATAAAATTTTT